AAATAGGACGGTTCTCAAGATAGATTTGATATTCCTTTGACTATCCTCATTTGATCAAACTTGTCTTGTATGGATATATGCACATATGAGACAAAATGGACAAAACACACATAATCAGCTGTTGCAGGTAAGAGTCTGTCTGCAGTCTGTGTTTGTCTGCAGCAACAGAAAGTAATTTATTGTTTTTGGTATCTGGGGACAGCGGCTGCAGAATGTCATTTGTCTATATGCCAAAAGTGGTAATAAGGAGATTTTTCATTTAACATTCTCCCCTTTTTTGGCATATGGACCCACGAAATCAAAGTGCAAAAATTAGGTCACTCACACACCCAATCATCCAAGTGTAAGTCCAAATATTACATGCCAACAGAAATATAGAAAAGGCTACATGCAGCCTCCACAATAATATGGTTGTAATCACTTCGGACTTCCAACAGAAATAACAACAGATAAAATCAACAATCAACAAAGCAGACAGCATCAGAACTGACCTCCCATTTTCCTGCATCAGAACTTGGTCAACTCCCCCTGAAAATATGATCTCTCATTTTCCTGCATTACTCCCCATTCGTGGGAGCATATGACAAAAAGAACAACTGCCTTCAATTTGCTAAGAAATGGTTGCAGCAGCAACACCAACATGAACAACAACAACTTCGGTTGATTCGATATCAGATTTGTTCCAGCAACAACTTCGCAGCATCAACAATGATTTGTGCAACATCACAAGACCTGGAAATTCTTCAAAATCCAGTGTAGGACTGAAATGTCCACCACGTCGAATTAATCCACAACCAAAACAACAACCATGGCATCAAATCTGATTCTCGTCATTGTTCAATCAAAGTCTTTTCTCAACACTTCTTCTTTTTGGATTTAAAAAAAAATATTTCTTCCCAAATTATTTTTATTCTCCAATATTCATCAAGAATATCCCAATCAACATAAATGTATTGGAGAATTTATTAAGCCCATGCATGCAAAATCAAGTAGGGTACGAATGCATACCCAAATGACGTCGGAACTTTTCAAACCGATTCGCATCCAACGCCTTTTGACTTTCCTTGGGCATCCACACCAATCTGACTTTAACAATCTGCTTCAGTCTTTCAATAGCCCATCGAATGTTTCTTCCATTCATTACATCGTTTGCTAATCAAAAACATCTTTCAGTTGTATGTCCAAGACATCTGCAGTATCTGCAATCGTTATGTCGTGACGACGACGATCTAGCACTATCTGTTTTTCTGCGATTTTTCTCCAAATTTCTGTTTCTGCTTTCCTTTGAGTTATTTTTCTTAGCAGGTGTTGATTTATTCTCTGGAAGTTTGACATCAGTTAACAAACCACCATGCACAAATGTAGTTGGTTTGCTTTGAGAAGATTCACAAAAACCTATTCCTTTGTAATCTCCGAAAGGTTTTCCAATCGAAAGAACTTCGTCCAATTTGTCTGTTCCTCTTCGAAGACGATCATTCTCATCTTTCAGCTTCAGATTTTCATTCCTCAAAGCATCAGATTCAGTTGATTTATCAGCAACATCCTTCTTCAGAGTTTGGATCTCATCTTCCAGTTTCTCCTTCTGAGCTTGCAATCGATAGATGGTATCAAGTAGCTCTTTGTTCTCACCACAGATTTCTTTTGCTCTAACACCATCTCCTCATAGGCTTCAATCAACTCATTTGCATCCAATTCACTTGACTTGACTCTTCAGTACTTTCTGTAACAGATACATCTTTTTCTTTACTGTTTTCTTCAACACCGGCCATGAAAGCCACAACTTCATCATTTTCAGATTGTTCCTCAACACAGATAGTTTCATCTTCATCATTGTCACTCCATGTTGCTTGATATGCTCTTTTCTCCATTTTCTTCACTGTCGGACATTCAGACTCGATGTGACCGATTCCTCCACATCCATAGCATATTGGCTCTTTGACAGATTCAGGTTTAGGGGACACAGTGAACTTCTTCTTGAATCCACCATCAAACTTCTCTTTTGACTTGTTGTAATTCGGTGCTTTCTGTTCAGAGTATTTCCGTTGTGAGTTGGAAATACTCACACCTTGATAACCACCATGGTTCTGAAGTTTTCCAAATTTCATCTTTGCTGTACGTTTCTCACTAATTATCCTCGAAAGTTTCCGACTCAGAAATGCCATTTCATCATCTGATTCGATCAACTCCATGTCCTCCACACTTAAGGCCATGCTTTTTGGAGTTTCATCTTCGAGATAATTAATTTCATAGCTCACCAAAGTGCCGTATAATTCATCCAACGTCATATTTTTCAGCTTTGGTGGTTTATCGAGCATAATCACCTTTGGCCTGAAATTTTTTGTGAGACTTTTAAGCACCTTCCTCACCAGCCTCTTTTCTTCAAAGTGCATTCCAAGAGCTTCTGCTTGATTGACAACATCCATAAAGCGATTATAGTAAACAACGATTGTTTCGTCTTCATTCATCTTCATCCCTTCGAACAATGTCTCCACATGATCTAGTTTAGATTCTCGCACTTGCGTTGAACCTTCGGATGCATTTTCCAGAATGTCCCATGCTTCCTTGGCAATTTTGCAGTTTGATATAAGCTTCGCCTAAGTTTCATCAACAGCGTTGAAGATCGAAAAAAGGGCTTTCGAGTTGGCGATTGCAGCAGCCTTTTCATTCAATGTCCATTCTCTCTTCGGTTTTTTCATAAGAGTAGTAACACCATCTTCATCTTGGATGGTTTCCATAGGATAAGACCATTCACACTCAACAGCATCAGAAACGTCTTCACCTCATTAGGAAAGCTTCCATTTTGTTCTTCGAACTTCGATAGTTTGTTCCATCAAACAATGGAGGTCTCAATGTTGAACGACCTTTCTTGCTCATCTTTACAACTGTGAAAGGACCTACTCAGCAACTTAGAGAACACTGCTCTGATACCAGATGTTGCAAAATGGTGGTTTGACAAGTCTGCTTCGAACACCTTAAATAGGGCCAACTTCCCTTGAAGCGTAGTTAACTCACAGTAATAACAGCTCACTGACAACGATATAAATACTTGAGCAGAAATGCAATAAATGAGCCAAGTATTTGTTAACCCAGTTCGGTTATAACAACCTACATCTGGGGGATCCAATCCAGGAGATACTCCACTTTAATCAATACTGAAAATAGTACACAACAACCTTCAACTCACTTAACACATATCCTCCATAAAGGCTTACCTTGCATTCAATGCACAGGTACTGGTAGTCACAAACGCGTACTGACACCAATGTATACAACAAGCCTAGAGTAATGCATCCAACAAGATGGTTGTCATCTCCTTTGGGTCTCCGAGAACTTCTTCCTCCGGCAACTTCTCCGGTGGGTTTTGTGTATCAAACACAGGTGAAAAACATGGAGATAAGGAGGGACTCAAATGAGAGCTTCTACAATAATTTCTTTCTCTAGGATAAGCTCTCAAAATGTGCTATCTCTTTCAACCAAGACTGTCCCATGCTGTATATACAGCAGTCTGATTTGAGTGTAGATTAAGCAACAATTAATTCCCTAGCACACAAATGGAATAGGACGGTTCTCAAGATAGATCTGACATTCCTTTGACTATCCTCATTTTATCAAACTTGTCTTGTATGGATATATACACGTATGAGACAAAATGGATAAGACGTGTCATAATCAGCTGTTACAGGTAAAAGCATGTCTGCCGTCTGTGTTTGTCTGCAGCAGAAAGTAATTTGCTATTTTTGATATCTGAAGACAGCGGCGGCAGAATGTCATTTGTCTATATGCCAAAAGTCGTAATAAGAAGCTTTTGAAAATAAATTAATCGTGGGAAAGTCTCGTAAAGTTGCTATAATAATTCATAGCTATACATTTATTATAATTTAATAATTTGACACTCTTTCACAGTTATGCATTATTTGTGAATATTGCATAAGTAACGAAAAGTCAATATCTGAATTATGATTAATTATTGAGACCACATAAATGCATGCATTTAATCCATTTAAGTTGAATTTTGCATGGCATAATTAATTATACCTGATTAATTAAATACTTCTCATTGTTATTTAACTTTGACTAATTAATTAGTAAATGCATTTGATTGTAAGTTGGAAATTGCAATAAGAAGTTAGATTTATTGATGAGTAATAAAATAGTTGTAAGTTGACTTATGATAATTATGTGGGTTTTTTGTCTACTAAATTTATTCATAATTTATTTATAATATTTTTTTATATATATTTACAATAATTTTTAGTTAGGATATATAAATATGTTAGATTTATTTAGAAAAAAAATTATATAAAAAATTATAAATAAATAATATTTTTTTAAGAAAAATAATAATTTAAGTTTTTTTTTTAAAAAAAATATATACCAGCCTACATTCCATCCCTTAACCAAACAGACAATAACAAATAATATTCTAAAAGAAATGCGAAAATCCAGATCAGCTAATTCGGCTGCCCATAACAAGCATTCCATTATAAGGCCGTTTTAAACGGGCCGGGCCTGGATATGCCCAAATCAGTTTGGTAAATATTCGGGTTGGGCCAACTAGACCATTTTTGGGCCGGGCCATGTTGAGCCGAATGGACTTGAATGGGCTGAACCGAACCGGTTACATTGGGATAGGCCTTGATATTTATTCAAAATATTTATTTATATTAATATATTGTTTTAATTTTAATTTTTATTATTTTTAAAAATTAAACTCAAATCCATGCATCTTTAATTACGTGGCGGTAATAATTACTCCTTAAGATTCCGAAACTCGGTGCCAATTACTGCACCAAAAATACTGACCGTACACACAGATAGTTTCGGGTTCACAACACCACAGAGATCTGCACCGTTCAAAAGTATTCTGGACGGTGCAGATTCATCTAGCTTTACGAGTTCCAGGATCTCCAAAGATCAATCCACAACGTTAATACTAACATTGTATACTAGAATATTAATAATAATAAATAAAAAAATGAAAAGAAAAACCTTGAGGAGGGTGAGGTCTCTGGCTGGCTGAGGGTTTTCTTCTCTGATCGAGAAAACGCCGAATTTCTCGAACTTCGATCGATAATTGCCTCATGATTAATAACCACCGAAGAATTGAGGAATGATGAGATTCAATTGGAGCTTCATCTTGTTGTTAGCAACATTCTCCATCCTTTTGTTCGTGCGCGCCTGTGGTGAGTGATGTTTCGTCTTCGTTCTTAAGTTCGTTGAGATATATTGATCACCTTCTGCGCGAGCTTTTGCTACTTTTTTTTTTTTGGTATTTGGTTGTATGAATTTATAGGCTCTTAATTTCGCCTGCTTCGAGGATTGGGGGTGTTCGCGTGATTGATTATTTTCTTATCTAGTTCGTAATGTGCGTGGTTGGGAAGGTAGTGGTTTTTTGGCTTATTTGAACTTTTCTCGATTGGGAAGGCAGGCGGATCGATACTGAGAGTGTATTGTTAGCTGATTTTTTATCTGCTTTTCTATATACTAGTTTAAGATGTTGAATTCATGTATATATATGTGGAAAGCAGATACTTATGTTAAGTAATTTAGTTATGGTGTTGTTCATCTATGAAATTGCTGCTTTCTATCATTATGTTGTTGATAGAGCATGGTGTGTTGTTTTTGTTGTACTAATATGTTGTTGCTAAATAATTTATCTGCTGATTGTAGGTATACAATATACTAAACAAATGCATATAAAATGCTGAATTTAATCACCAAGTTACCGAGAACCATCCCCAATGGAAAGACTGTCTTACGTTTTGCTGTTTAGTTTCATTTTGGAAAGAATCGATAGTGGTGTGGGCAGTTGTGAATTGTTGGCTATTCAATTTATGCAAAGTAAGCACAAAACCATACATACACACATATATGTATACAGATACTATTATTAATAATTCTAGATATGAAATTATAGGCAATTTATGTAGTGAAGTAGAAAACTCTAAATAGAACAAAGTTGGTGATAAGAGTTTGGTTTCATTAGGTTGAGAAGTAGAGTTTTACATCGAACATTTTATATCTGTATAAGAATGTGAAAATGTGAGAGATTTATTGAGTTTCAGTCATGGATATCTTGTTATTTTGTTAGGCTTTGTTTACTTATGTCTTAAAAATTGTTTCCGCATTATTCATTATAATTTTTCTCTCTTAAAAGACATAACATTCAAAACCTATTTTTTGTTTAAAATATTATATGAAAAAACTTATTCTCTAGATGGAACATTCCATCCAACATCTATTTTCTATTCAATTTTTTACTAAATCTACCATATTAACATGATGAATATATAAACAGTATGACTGTAACTGAATTTTCGTTTAAACCGACAGTTCTCTGCAAATTTGACTGTGTGTCCTTTTCATTTTTATTTTTTACTGCAAAACCTGAATGTCAGTTTTCTACTTTTCTTCTGCACGCCAGTTTAGCTGATGGCATTAAATGTCCATTTGGTTTTGATGAGTAGAAGCAGCTGTTGTTTGGCAAAGGAGTTGGATGTGGATATATTACAACTCCCTTGTTTGGTATTAAAAATAAATAAATAAATAAAAACTGTTGCTTGATAGCGAAGTGCTATATGGTGGACAGGAAGCACGATATAATACAGTGGCAAAAAAGGAGAGTTTTTTATATTTGTCTAACAGTACTCGTTAATCCATATCCTGTAATAAGGTCTTTTGAGTATCAAGTTTCTTAGTAACTTTCTTGTGTGATGAGTGTCCTTTTTTAGTAAGGCGAGAATCAATGCAGATCGACGTGTTAGCATCGCTGCTTAATTTATACCATGAGATGCCTTTTTTGATTATCGGTGAGAAATGATTCTGTTAATTTCTACGGTAATCTCCGCTCCATTGAAATGTTTTGAATTGATGCAGGTAAAAGAAGTGACATTTGTGTTTCTCAAGGTGGTCGATTTCCCCCCTTTAGGAATGAAGGGAAGCCACCCAAAAAGGCAGGAAAAGGCCTTAGAGATCTTACACTTTGCAGGGTTTTTCGCAAAAGGACTTGCTGTGATGTAACTCAGACACATCCTGCTTTATTATCGATCAGGAGACTTGCTTCATCTGGGGAGGGAAGCCAAGAGTGCTTGCAACTCTGGGAGCTCTTGGAATGTGCTATTTGTGATCCACGGGTAGGCGTACAGCGTGGTCCTCCTCGTGTATGTGCCTCCTTTTGTGAGAGAGTGTATGACGCATGCTCCAGCGCTTACCTAGCTATGGATGCAAGGACACAGGTTTGTTTTTGCTTTGATTCTTTCGACTTATTGAAGAACCCGATTGTCTACTATTTACTTTCATCATGTTAAATAATATATATATATATATAGAGAGAGAGAGAGAGAGCAATTGCGACCAGAACTAATTTGTCTGATACTGTCTTACTTCATTCCGACGTGCATGGGATCCCAGTATTTTTAGATGCTATAATGTCGATTGTTGTTTCAACTTTTGGCCAATTTATTATTGACTGGACTGGGCATTTTATGTTTGTGTTTCAGGTTCTAGGGCCATGTGGTGTTGGCGACTTTGTTTGTGGTAGGGCATCTGAGTGGGTCTCTAATGGAACTGAGCTCTGCCATGCTGCAGGTTTCTCCGTCACACAATTTGGCGACCCTGAAGAAGCATGCTATGGCGGGAGGGGTAGTCTAGACTATATTGCCAATTCGTGGAAATCTTCAAATTCTGAGATTTCACCCGGAGAAAAAACAAATGAAGTGCTTGAAGATTTCACACAATGGATTGCTGATATGACCTTTAATGATAGGATCTCTTGGGCAGTTGGAGGCATGGTTCTTACAGCCGGGCTTCTCTTATTCAGGTCAATCAATTCATCCCTCACATGTTTTAGATTTATGTATTTATAATTTCTAGAAGAAGATATGAACAAATCATTCTCCTCATCCTCACATCAGTTAGCCTGCTCTTGTGGGTTTACGCCCCAAGTGGGGTGACCTGAACATGGCCCGTTACTAGATTTCTAGTTAAACATTAGATAGATTCCCAATTGCTATAGTTCACTCATTTTTAGTTAATTTCCTAATTACTTTAAGTCGTTTGCTGTGCCAATACACTATAAAGGCCATGTTTAAGTTAGTGAATTGGATTTATAATACTTCGAATATAATCTCATTGTATCAATCATAGCAAACACACCTTATAGAGTAAAATGATTTAAAGTAGTTAACCTAACATACACCCAATTTAGAATATAGTTAACTTTCGATTAGTTTTTATTGGTGGATAAATTAAGACTTTAATCCCATCAAGCTATTAAGTATTGAGTATATTTAATTTTGTTATTATTGTCCCAGGCTTTAAATTATTATGCTTTTATATTAATTAAAATTATATGTAATTAAGTTGAATAACATACCCTAAACATGTGGAAAAGGCTACCTACACAAGGACTCCAACCTTTAGGACCAAGTTACAACCCTGTGCCATCAAATGGCCCTTTCTAGGATACTGTGTATAAAGATTAAATGAAATCCCTCCATACAGCAATATTGAGCTTGCCTCATGGCCAAGGGATTTCATGAATTGTTCTTCCCTGTATAGCTAAGAGCGTCTCGGTCAGTGTAGTTGTCACATTTGTCATTGCAAAGGGTTGGGAATCTCCTCCAACTTGATGTCAATAATGCATTCTTACGTGTGACACTTGACGAGGATACATACACCATACACAGATCTTCCCCAAGGATCCAACCCAATCGGCAATGTATGCCTATTCCATAAATCCCCTGTTGAATTAAGGAGTTCGCACCCATGGGGTTTTCTTAGCTTGGGGTTCTTCGGGTCCAAACATGTCATTGCCTCTTTATGAGGCATTCTAGCGGGTCATATTTAGTATCTTTCTTGATTTATTTAGATTGACTATCATCTAATATGGCATCACTTTGAATCTAGATTTGTTCTAGTAATTAAAATTAAGCTCTGTATGTATCTGATGCTTTAGTATGTTCTCATAAAGTTCCTTCTTAATAATTTGTGCATTTTCCTCTATAAAAAGACCAACATGTATTTACTATAGTAAATTTCTGGATATTGCAGCAAGCGGAAAACCCAAAATCAGCGTCAAAAGCAGGCAGCTATTCAGCGCACGGTGAGGAAACTAGGGACGAAGATGAATTCTACTTCTTCTCATTACAGTCAAGGAAACAGAATGGGATACGAAAGATGAGCAGTAGGCTATATGTAAATACCTTTCCTTGTTTATCTAAAGGTTAGTCCTTCACAGCTACTTTTGTATCGCCTTTTTTTATGGTCACCCCACTTGATATTAGTGAGTAGAAGTTCGTTCACTTACTACTCCAAAACTTAAACATCATGGATTTATTAGTCTTTCAACTTTACATAAGCACTGCCGTGAATTCTCTAGATCAGTAGTTTATTTTCACTTTTTAGCTTTCGGTTGTTCTTCCGGTTTTGCAGGTTTATTTGGGTCGATGTTCTTCATTTACACTCGTCCCTCTTAAAACTTTCTGGCAGAGGAAGAGCAGATGTATCCAACAGGCCATATTTGTTTTGGAAACACTATTTGATTGATGGCTTAGAAGAAAGTAGATTTGGTTTTATATTCTGGAGCAGTTCGTTCTTTGGCACTTCTGAGATCAATTTTGTGCCAACACTTTTGAATATGTTGAGGGGTGTATAATATGATTAGCTCTGCTGCTATCCGGTGTATTTTTATTTTTTATTTTCTATTTTATTTTTATATACAATGTATACATCCTACTTGATAGAAAGTCTCACCAGAAGCAGTAGTGTAGTCGAAGAAAGGATATGGAACTAGCCATTGCTGCTTTGTATGCACCTATCTTATTTTATTTTAATATTTTTAATAGGAAAAATAGCATATTAAATAGGGCAACACAAGAAGATTCGAGGTTGACAATTCAAAGTCGTAATGTTCTTCTCATATAAAACCTTCATTTTCAACAATGAAATAGGAAAAGTAGGTGTGTTATCTTGCAACTTCAAATAATAATTATATTAAAGTTTTGTTTACATGGTAATTATTTCTAATTTATTATTTTATATATATATATATATTTACAAGGTATTACATCCAAAATGTTATTTAAACTAAAAATTCAAAAAAAATAAAAGTAAAAATAAAAATCACCAAGTAAATGTTCATAATTACATCCATAGCATCTCTCCCTCGTTAGTTGTGGTTTCCATACTTATTTTTTATTCAAATATTATATTCAATAATAGCCTACAATATAAAAAACACTTCCGAAAAGAGTCGTTAGAGTTCCTCAGATGAAAAATGAGTAAATGTAAAGGAAAAAATAATGATTGAACATGGTAATAAATACAAAAAAACAAAATTTGGAAGCTAATTTTAGAAATAGATATTTGATATGTTTCATCAAATGCTCATTTGAGTTTGTTGGGAGCCAATTCATTCCTTGTGTGAGTACCTGTCGTCGATTGGAAGAAACTTTGCATATCGCTCTGTTTTTGTCTTCCCTTCAGCCTTGTGATCGTAGTACTCGACCACAGCAGCTCCGGCCAAGGCAGCCAGTGTTAGTGCTTGTGCATGCAGCCTGAAATTGATGCAGAGCTGAAGTTAATATGCATAATATTTTTTCTAGATGAAATGAATGGTAGAATATAGCTTCTTCAGCTGAAAACATTATTTTGAAGGTTGTTCAATGACTTATCCAGGCAAGAGAATCAAGTTTCACTTGTAAAATGAATATATCAGAAAGGTATATGAATTCAATTATTTGAATGAAAGTTTGTTCATCTACATTGAAGTGAAATTGTGATTCAATCTATAGTGGTTGAGTTACTCGAGTATGGAGCTCGTGAAATAATGTGAAAACAAGTTGGATTCACTACACTGTGAAAGTGCAAAACTATGACTGAAACACAGGAATTTGATTGTTTTTTATGATGATTATGCAATCACAATCTACTCATTAAAGATCTAAAGCATAGTTTGAAATACATGGGAGAGAAGAAATTAAGTAATATAGCTTGCAAGAGTTCTACAGCCTTTACAAGACGAAACTTCTTCAAACTAAGTCCATTAGATTCAATCAAGGAAGGAATAACAGAGAATTCTCCGCAATCTCAATCTAGTTCCACATATATTGATGCTATACTATAACTAAAAGGTATATTCATCTAAAAAGCATCCTAGAAGATTTTACAAACCAGAAGCCAACAACGATCATCTATCAATAAGATTCACCAAGAACATAATGTTGGAGAAAGAAAAAAAGAGAAAAAATTATTTACCTAGCGTGAATGATCTTGACACTAGCCTTGCCAGGTTGACTCCAGTTGTAAGCCAATGATCCGATTACACCGCTTGCCCACAGGCTGCCTGGAACCTCCAAAAACACACGTCAATCAACAGAATCTCGAAAGAATGTAGAAATCACAAAGCAAATAGAAATAACAACAAAACAAAAACAAAACAGCTTCCACTCCTGCACTAAAATCAATGTTTTCACACAAAACAAAACCTCCGAACCTCATAAGAAAACGTCGAATCTTCAAAAGATTCCAGCGAAGCATTAACAAAATCAGCGAAATAAACAACGCGGTAAAATAAGAACTCACCGACTGTTCGAAGCTTATTCTCGACGATCCAGTGTCTGATGGATTCAAACCTAGACTTGAAGCCAGTCGATTCCGCCATATTTAGCCTTAAGAACGAGAGAGAGACGAACCAGAAAAATCTGCTACAAGAAAACACGCCGATGCACATATATATATACACACACAAGAGCGCGTGGGCGACACGGAAACTAAACAAGGAAGAGGAATCGGAATTTGTTACCAAAGCCGCGGGCGGCCTTCAGGTTCAACCCACCCTTTTTTCTTTTTCTAATGAATATTTATTAGATATTTCATCCGTCAAGTTACAAATTATATATATTTCAATTAAAAGCGTAACTATTTCAATTAAAAAATAATTATTTCATTAAATACTTTATTTTTTTTTACATATATTTTACGTTATATCAATACTTTTATTAAAAATAAAAAATAAAAATATCGTTACACTACTTTTACCTATCCACTATAATTAAAATACTATTATTTTCTTAAACTCCGCGCCAAAAGTAAATGTATATTTTTCTGTCCTCCATGTTTTGTCATAAAAATATATTAATAAAAATAAGTATCATATAATAAAAATAATTATAAATTAAGATAATTTATTAGTATAATTAAAATTTAAAAAATTATAAATTAAATTTTTTAAAATAAAATTAAAGTGTATAATGAAAATGATAAAATAAATTGGATCGACAAAAATAAAGAAATGCACATGAAAAGTGGGATAGAATAAGTAAATATTTTTTCCATTGTCCAATTTTTATACCTATTCGTTCAACATCATGCTTTTTTATTTTTTAAAGAATTATATAACTATTTAATTTTTAAATTTTAATTAAAATAATTATTATGTTGCTCTTAATTTATATTATTTGTATTATACTTTTATTAGTTTTATTAATATATTTATTAATAACATAATTTTTTTATAACATGAAAATTTGCTGTCGCTATTTAACGAATGTGTTTTAGGTAAACTCCGACAAATCACAGTCGCAAGTTCATACTCACGCACTGGGTCATTCTTTACCTAACATGATATTATTTTTTATTTCTAGTGTTACTGACATCATACATCTAGAACATAGAGTGTAATTAATAATACTCCCTCCGTCTCATCCATCTTTTGTGTCCCGTTTAGTATACATACGAAAATTTAAATAAGAATGAAATTATAAACATAAACATAAATATGAATGTGTTCAAAATCAAAGTATGAACACAGATATATTTAGAAAAGAATAATGAACACGATCAATTTTAACTATATTTGAAGCTTTGTCACATATTTGAATCCGTATTCAACTTGTGTCCGCTACTTATAGTTTCGATATTAGAATATGTTTCTTTTGATAAGTTTTGAAAAAAGAAATGGTTTAAGTTTGGTATTAGAAAAATATATATGAAATGAAAAAAATTACTATATCCATCTGGCTCTAAGATTACATTTACTTTTTCCGTACTTATCTTTGATCGAGCTTTAGAATGTCTCTTTTTTCTTCTCTGAAGTCTACAACAAAGAAGTAGGATATACAAGATTTGAACCTACATAAAAAATTTTTAACAGACTTACAGTCCGTCACTTTTGACCATTCGGCCACTCTCCCCTTCCCCAGCCGAGGCCCCCTTCAATAGGTTCTAATTCGTTGAAGGGGGGCGGCGCCTTTATCAAACAAGTCAATCAAAAAGCTTAACGATTATTAATTATCATATTAAAAAGTAATATAAATAAAAAAAAAATATTTTAATTAGTGTCTTATAATAATATTGATATAAAATATTATAAAAATATAAAAATATTTTTTAAAAAACGCATAATTCACATATAAAAAAATAAAATTCGGAGACAAAAAGAAACAAACCCTTAATTAGAAATAATGGAAATATATAGAAATAATGGTAAAGAATAAAATTGTAAAGAAAAAAAATTAAACAGATAATGAGTATTTATTTTTTTAAAAAAACAATAATTCAAATTGAAAAATATAAATAAAATACTAACAAATGAGAATATACTATATTATTAATTAGAAAAAATCAATCACTCAAATTTAATAAATTAGATAAAAAAAAATATATATTGTAGTTTTTATTTATATTTTTAGTCTGAAAAGTTATTTTTAATAATAATTTAAAAATGAAATTCATGAGATTTGTATAATAAAAATTATAAAATATTTCATACGTGATAAAGTAGAAATAAAGGTAAAAAAGACTAAATTAACTTTGTATGATATAAAAGTAATGATATCTGTGTAATATATTATAAATTAGAAAGGTATTTGTAATGTTAGGTAGACAGTACAATTACTAAAAAAAAAAAGAAAACTAATACTTTATTATGAGACAGACCAAAATAGAAAAATAGATAAAAGTTAAATGTAATAAAATAAATAAATAAATAAACACACTATTTCATTTCTCTGCATACAAGAGATAAATAATTTAGAAATTTATTTTTCAACTTCCAATTATTTATCTAAACCGAGCAAGAAAAATGGGGATATTTCAACTTTTCTGTCCCAATTTCTCTATACCAAAACAGCGTGTGTTTGATTGGAGGATTTGTACATCCCATTTTAAAAATTATTTTTATATTAAAAATATTACATCACCTGTTTATATAATATTATACAACAATTTCAATTCAAATTTTTTACGGTTCAAATCTAACTCAAAATTTTAAACGAAAACAAACACACCCTTATACTCAATAGTGAATACATACAGCGGTTAAAAATAAAATAAAAGAAAATATACAGCGGAAAAGTAAACAGGCAGGTGGCAGACCACAATTCATATATAAATTATCTCGAAATCGTAGCCCTACACGCAATACCCTTTGAATTTCTCTCTCTTATTTATTTTTCCTTATTATTATAAAATGCAACCACGCTTCCATCGCATTCACTTCTTCGCCCTTTTCCTGGGTCTGCGGTGTGGACGGAACTCTCTCGGTTGCTTGCAAGGGTATGCTGTGCCTTCGCTTATCTTCGTGGTTATGTATTTCTCACTAGTTCTGTACGATGTTTTCAATTTCGGCTTGGATTGCGAATTGTTTCAACTATTTGCTTCAAGCTTTTTCGTTGTCTCGACATTTGTGATTGTGTTCAATCTTTTCCCCCAAACTTTTATAGCGAGGCGACGTTTTCTAGGGTTTTGAATGTGAAAAGGTTTTTAAAAAATTCGGAGTTGAATACGTTGGTTGGTTCTTCGTTTTCTGATGATTTGAATTCCGGTAATTGATATGTTTTTTTTTGGTAAGCTATCTGCGTAGATTAATGTGTTGAATATGCTCTTAGTTTATCGCTCTAATTTCGTTATTTCTCGCTTATTGGTCTTACTTTAATTTCATGTGCACCTTTGTGTAACATAACTTTTGAGTATGCAAAATCGCTTTGTAATACATATTTAAGTGTGGCTATGTTTTTCAGGAAGGATGGGTCGATTGAGCAGAACTATATATGTGGGTAATCTTCCTGGAGATATTCGTGAGAGTGAAGTTGAAGATTTGTTTTACAAGGTTTGCTTGTTTGAATTGTCATTTCTTTAAGCAAGGCTGTGAGGAAAATATGATTGTGTTGTGAAAATATGAAAGCATTTGAATGAACATGGAATAATTTTGGATAGGGAACAAGTGCATTTAATTATTTTCAATTTTATTATATGTATTTGGTTCATTTGATGTAATATATTAGTTTATGGTTCCTTCTTGTTGTTGAAACCTCTTCTTGTCTTGTCTTAACTTGCCTCATTGTTGCAGTATGGGCCCATTGTTGAAATTGATTTGAAAATCCCTCCAAGACCTCCTGGCTATGCTTTCATTGAGGTGAGCATCCTTTTGAATCTTCAGACACTGCCTTATTATTAAAGTATATTAAATGGTGTCTGTTCATTGGAACTATCAATTACACAAGGTTTTTGTTCATCAACCTCAGTATTTATGAAATAGGATATCAGTTTTTTCGGGTTCTTTTTTGATCTGTGGCTTTGCCTATTGTCTAATTCTGATGAAGTGTTTATCTTCTTGACTTATAGTTTGAAGATCCCCGTGATGCTGATGATGCTATCCGTGGTCGGGATGGTTATAATTTTGATGGCTGTCAATTGAGGGTCAGATATATTTCAGCTTTTATTGGTATACTAACATTTTTCACTCCCATGCTTCATTCTCTTTTACTTTCATATTATTGTCCCAACATAGGTTGAGATTGCACGTGGACGGAGGGGATCTTCATATGATCGTCATAGTAGTGGAAGTAGTCGTGGTGGAGTTTCAAGGCGTACAGAGTATCGGGGTAGGAAGATATTGTATCTGCTAACTGATATTATCGTATTTATGCTTTTATCATCTGATTAGATGTTATGAGATTTGTAAATGCAGTATTGGTGACCGGACTCCCATCTTCTGCTTCATGGCAGGACTTGAAGGTAATAAATTTTCTTTTGCACTAGAATGTCCCTTAATACTACTCTAATTTATTGATGATTGTATTTATTGCTAATGGCTTAATTTCCATATGGCCACAGGATCACATGCGTCAAGCTGGAGATGTGTGTTTCTCTCAAGTTTATCGTGATCGTGATGGTAAGTGGATTATCTCTTCTAAACCATTCACATTTTTCGTTTGTATGAAGAATTCTGGCTCAATCAATCAAAACAACCTTATATTCCCACTTCACCCATTGTATCTTAATGAGATATTTTGGTTTTAGTAATTTCTGTGCTAGATTTTACAGCCTAGAGTATGAGACTAAAATGTCAAGGTTCAATAGTCTTTCTTTTTTGATGATGTTCAGCTTATTCCAACCAACTGTGATATTAGATTGCATGGGTGTCGGCCTTGTTTTAGAAAGATCATCATCTTGTGACACAAACCATTTATTAAGCTTCATCTTACTAAATAATGATTACCTTATAAATAATTGAAGATTAGTTGGTAGAGTTTAATCTCGTTAGGAGTGCAGTGTGAGTGTGTACTCTTGACCTCAGTAAAGAAACCTGAAAATGGGTGATGTTTCCTTTGGCGGGGTCGTGGATAGAAGTTTACCTTTTTGTCCACATTTTGGCATTTCATATAATTGTTATTCAGTGAAAAGCACTACAGAACGAGCAGTACGACAGCCTCTTGTTCTGCTCGTCATCCTTCTAAACAAAACTTTTGCAACAGCATCCTGTTCTAGTGATCCATGGCTGCACAATGAAATGCTGTCGTTGGGTTCCTGGATATCATTGTGAGGGATTAAGTTCTGTTGCATAAATTTGCCATACCATATAGCAATATGTCTAGCTTTGTCTCTTTTATGAGCCTTACTCATAAGTTGTTTTTCCTGTTCAGCTTCAGCTGATGTTCTGTAGTTTCTCCTCCTGAAGTGTTCCTTAAATTTGTCATTTGGTTGTATTTACTTCTGAACTCAAAAGATATGATATAGAAAGTTGCTATTTTCTTGATGTGTGTGACTTCTATTTTGGAGTTTTTCTGAAATGGAATAATTTGCTCACTAACTGGTGATTATATAACCATGTGGAATATCACCTTGTATTTGATTCTGTTTAATTAGGGCTAAGTTTTGTCTGTTAGCATGCTGCCTTTTATGTACATTGATGATGGGATGGTGCATCCAATTTTATTTTATTTTTATTTTTGTTGTTTTAGGTATGCGGGGAGTTGTTGATTATACAAACTATGACGACATGAAATATGCAGTGAGTTACTTATGAAACCCATCCTGTTTTAAATGTTCACTAGCATAAAAACTGATGTAATTTCTGTGGTTGATTACATGTACTCGCTTGACTTTTTGTTGTGCGCTGCTCTGCCATATGCTTTGTGTTTCCTTTGTGTTAGATTAAAAAGCTTGACGATTCTCTCTTCAGAAATCGATATTCTCGGGCTTACATTCGGGTATGTTACGTGAACATTTGTATTGCTGTTTACATTCTGCTTTTTAAGTTCCTAAATGTAAAGCATTTATGAATATAGGTCGATGAATATGATAGTAGACGGAGTTATTCCCGAAGCCCAAGTAGGAGCAAGAGTCCATATTCAAGAAGCAGAAGTCCATATCGCACCTCTGATGGAAAGGGCCGGAGTAGAAGGTATCATTTTTACTCATTTTCTCAATCTCGAATGAAAGCACCAACACAGAATATATCAAAGAACAACTCACAGATGATTGAGATGCGCAGTGCCTCTCCGCGTGGGAAACATTCTCGCCGTTCATCATACAGATCTCGTTCAAGGTCAATTTCATCACGCTCTAGATCGGCATCTCCACAGCGCTCTGCATCAAGGTGAGAAACTTTTAACCTGATGTGTTGACAATTCTTTTGACTTCATTTTCATTTTCAGATTCATATGAATATAATGTGAATTATACTTTCTTTTCTATTACATTCTGTCGATCACATGCATCTTGCCTGTTTTGCAATTTAGTTGATTTGTGGGTTTGAAGTGTGTGATGTTAGGCAAATTCTATGTTTGTCAGACAAAAAGAGGCTGCTGGCAGCAACTACACCTGATCGGTTATGAATAGTGCAGCTTGAATGAAAGAAAAACATTTACCGGACTGTTTTTTTATTGAGATATGTTTTATGGGATTTTTTTTTTGCTCCCCTTTTTATTATAAAGTGGGCTTTGAAGAATTACTTCTGATTTCCAATTTTATATACAACGCTGGCATTTCTTTGTGACAAATGATTTTACTGAGAGGAGGATGGTTTCGTTGAAGAGGGCATGTGGACTATTAAGATTATGTTACCACGTTGTTGTGAAAGATTGCCTGTTTTGTTTTCTAGATTGGGCTTTACATGGCGATCTGGGGATTACACTTTAGGATCTTGATGGCTTGTGGTGCTCTATTTCATGCGACTCATATCTATGTGGCATCTGTTAAGTCAATGAGCACTGCAGGAAATCTCGGATGGTAAATTCCATTTTAGCTTGCAATATGTGGTAATGATTGATCATAAAGGTTTGGAGCGGAACTAATGTGCAGAGAGAAGTTGGACTTGCTTGATTTTGAGTGACACGATTTTATGTGCGAAATTGTTTCCTTCACTAAATAGATGTTAACAGTCGGTGAGAATCTTATTGGGGCGCTCCAAGAATAATTTGCTTTAATATTCATCTTGAATGTCAACTGCTCTGAGTTTCATTTGGAGGGGAGTTTTTCTTTTTCAAATTTAAGGATTTTGTTACTTATTTGGTGTTTATGTGAACTATGCAGATCCCCGTCAAGATCAAGAAGTGCATCCCCAGTAAGTATATCTTAAATTATTCAAAGTAATCTATGAAATTAACTTCTCTTCATATAGTAGCAGTAGTAGGTTTCGTACTTGGAGTCACACCTCTTATAGAAATTCTGTAATTGCCCAACGTAAACTCCTAACACTTTCATCAACTTATGATTCTGCAGCGTCCTAAATCTGGAGATGCGAGCCCAATCCCTAGCAAGAACAGATCCAGATCCCGATCGGTATCCAACTCTCCTGTTTCAGGAGGTCACTGAGGTGAAGTCTTGTTTCTCACTGGTTTATGTTAACCTACTCCCTCCAAGCTACATATTTCTTAGGAAGTTATATTGTCGACAGGGAACCCAAGTCTGAGACATGGAAAGCCTACGGGCAGCATCAGTGCAAGCGTAGTCTGAAGCTTTGTGAGTTGTGTGAGACTTATATCTTTCAGGTACTGTTTTAAGGCTATTTGGAGTTCTAAATGGAGTATTGACCTGTAGTATTTGGTTGTTGGCATAACTAAAATTTGTACTGTCTGTCCTTCCAAACCCTTAATGGGACGTTGTTTGTTCCTATAGTCTCTCTAAGTCCACTTCCTGTCCTAAGTGTTTTTGCTAGCTTTACTCACTCAGCATCACCAACACATCGAAATACATGAAGCTCGGCATTGTACCTCTATATAAACAATTTGCTTTTTTTTTTTTTTTTGATCGGAAACAATTTACTTTTATTAACATGATGGGGGAAAAGAGATGATTACGTTGACACTAGATGGTTTTGCATTTACTGTTTTCATAGTTGTCCAAAGTCTTTAGTCACAGCATTATGAGATAAATATCTAAAGCCAGTTTTGAGATGGCATCCTCTCGGATCTGTGCCTCCGGCGATGATAACTGGTGGAGGATCCACTGGTCGGAAACTGAAAAGGGCCCCATATTGAATTATTACTGACCTGCCCCGTGGGAAAGGCCGGATCGGAGAGGGTATTTGCAGTTTCTTGGAAGGCTCGACCGCTAGAGTTTGATGAGTAGTAGTAAAATTGGCCTAGCTGGTCTGCTGATGAAGAGACCATTGGTGCAGCTTGAGCCAAACCAGTTTGGTTGCTGGTCCTACTTTGAGCAAATGATGTAAGAGAGGTTTGCGCGATTTGGCTGCCGGATGATTGCTGAATATATGCTTCAAGAGACGGGAGATGGTAAGTGGGAACTATGGATGAGGCAACGGAACCAGGAGCGGGTGCTCTATTAGCTGAACTGCCACCCAGCAATACACATAGATATTAGACATCTCTCAGAAGCCGGGATTATGTTAAGACAATATATCATGGATATATATATATATCTAAAGTGTGTTCTAACCTGTGACCGATGATGAAAGGGTGCATCCCGGATCTTGGCACGTCGTAGTTATTCCTAGATGTTGTCTGGGTCATTGACGGAATCGATGGTTGCTCGGCAGCAGCACTCGAGTGGTGGCTACCTGCGGTGTAAGGTGTGTGGTCCCAAATGTGATAGTTAACATCCATTGAAAGGAATGGGTAGGTTTCACCTGTGGCAGATTGGCCATTCTGGTTCGATGTTGAGGAAGATGGATGGATTGGGCCGACATAGGTGATGTATGGACAAGGGGGATGAGTAGTTGATACACCTTGCCCCAGAAGATCATGATCTGCAACCCAAAACAAACAAACCCTTGTTACTTGCACAAGAGATGTGCATACTAGAAGACCAGTACTGAATGAATATAGCTTACAGGCGCTTGATTGAAATTCTCCTTCTCTGGATATTAAACAAACAAGGCCAGAGAGAGTTCTGTTAGCATAATAGTAACCATAAGAAGACCAAAATTATGATAAAAATAGAAGCAACACTGAACATAAACAATACATAAAAGAAAACAAACAAGATGATACTCACTCAAAAGAAGTTGGGAGCCTAGTCAAACCACTGACAGGACACCATTGAACTCCAAAAGACTGCAAAATCCATTCAAAACAAACTGTGAGCCAACAGGATGGCAAAAGGAATTTCCATTTATGCTGAATAAGTTCTTATATATCAATCATGAAGTAAACATAAGTCTAGATTATGGACTAGTCTATTAAATGAATTAACACCGACATAGCTTCATCAAAATATGAATTGGCTTAATTCTTTTCCAAGAGTGAAGAAATTGTTTAATCCTTAGAGGCCCCTAAAACATAGTCTAAGTAAGGAAGCAAGATTTGTACCTTCAACTCAACATTTTAGTCGTGTTGAGTTGAGATATATTTTAGATAGATATTCTTGTTATTAACCAAAAAATATTGCAATGAGCACAACAGAACGTTCTGAGCATTCACTTGCTTCAGGATCATGAATTCAAATGACCCTAAACATAAATTACAGATATGAACACAAACATGCTAAAGTAGATCTATAAACTTACCATTTCAGCAAAACTTATATCATACGAATCCTCATCACCAGCCCAATCATCCGTAGTAGTCTCAGGCAATGCGCGGCTACCATTGGCATAGAGCCATTGTCCTTTCTCAATCTGCCGACAGTTGGGGCATTGCATTGCTCCCTTAATGTTGAATGCTGAACCTATACAGTCTTTACAATTTCACAATAAAGTCAGACAACACTAATGACAGTATTCGCTAAAAAAAAACGAAAATCATAAATGGTTAATGGACTTTCTGCCCGATTTTGTCCCCATATGATAGTGCTGTAGAAGCAACCACTTATACAGAGAACATTAAACATCACATTTGATAACAAGGAGCTTCTACTTGTTTCAAGCATTACTGTTATTGACCTAAGAAGTAGGGCCAAAAATATGCCAGAATGGTGCATTACATGATGCCATAAATTGGACAACCTTCTATCTTAATTCAGATTATTACACTTTGTTTTTGTACTATACAATCAAGAATTTAAAAAATATGCTATATATATATATACTAACACCAAATGAGGTTGTGATCCAGCCGTGTTTTCGGTACTTTATAAATAGATGTTTTAAATAAATAGTAAAATTTGAATGTAATATGAATAAGCCGAAAATTTTGTAACCACACCAAATGTCTACATCTATAAGGTGTACCACTATTTTGCATTCCAAAATATAATATACACACATTTAATACAATATATATAATATACCCTTTCTGTCCCGGAACTATAATCTTGGTTTTGTTGGATATAAGATTTAGGGAATATTGATATTATATTGATAGGTAAAAGATATTTTTGCCATTGTGAGTGTATTAGTGTAAAGGGTAATGTCAATTGTGTAATAGTAATAATGAAAGAGTAAACAAAACTATTGTTTTGGGAGTATTATTTTATTCACTTAAAAAAAGTCAAACAATTAATATAAAATATTAATTTTTATATTACCAATACAAGTTTTCATCATAGCATAAAAATATCCAAAAAACACAAATAAACACACCTAAATAAAGAGAGAATAATGCTGAAAAAATTTAAACCACATCCAAATACCAACACCTAAACTTTATACAAAACACTAAATACAAGTTACAAACTATTTTCTATTCAATATTAAAGTACAGTACCAAACAACCCAAAACACAACAAATATCCAAGCACACAGGTAACACACACCAAAACAAACAAAATTTGTTTGGTGTTTGGGTTTGGATTTTTTTTAAAACAATATAAAATATAGAGAATTGTGTAGATAATATATAAATAAAAGTGTGTAGTATATTATTTTATTTTTTTTATAAATATGTTGAAAATTTTTGAAAAAAACAAACTCTAAATATCAAAAGAAGTGTTTCAAAGTTAAAGATTGATCCACACCATACATTCTATGATAATTTTTTATTTGTTCTTAAAAAAACACTACATTAAATATTTATTGTCTATTCAAAGTTTGAGGTTAATAAATATATTTCACATCCAAAATCTAAAATAAATCAAATTTAAAACAACCCTATTTCGGCGAAACTCATTTTCAAAGTACCTAGAATGTCACAAATTACAAAAACTCATTTCCAAAGTACCTAGAATGTCACAAATTACAATACCTATTTCTCCCATCCCGAAATCAATCATTACATCCAATATTTATTTCTCTTTTAATATATTAACATTAAAAAAATATATATGAAAGTTTGCATCTAAATCCAACACCTAATTTCCATTAAAAAAAACGTTATATCAAAATTTTAATTTTCACTTCAATGGCTCCGTTTTAGACGGTTTTTTTGAAGACTTTTTTTTTTTTTAAGTTTGAAAAAAGAGTGAAAAATTAGTATTTGATTTGATATTTTGTAAGAAAAAAAAAATATTTGATTTGATATTTTTTAAAATTTGAATAGTAACAGATGACTGAAAAGGTAAAATTGCTCCTAACTGATTTTGAAATTCTAGAGTTAAAATCTTTTTATATTTTAAAAAATATGGCATGAAACTTCACTGCCATGAAACCTCCGTTGGTATAGAAAGAGCTTTTTTATCTATAGATTTGCATGGAGGAGAATTTCATACAATATTTTGAAAGTATAACGTCATGCATTTTTTTTATTTTTTATTTTTAAGTAAATTAAAGATTTACATTGAGTTTCGCAATCACATAAAGTACGGAAGACTTAATGAAATTTTTTGAATAAAAGAGATTAATAAGAGAGTTAGGGACAATTTTGTCTTCTAAAAACAAACTTAAAAATTTCCCAAAACATCCGAAAAAAACAATCAAAACAAATAACATTCAAAACACACGGGAATCATCCAAAACACAATCAAACAAATAACATCCAAAACACACAATCAAACAAATAACATCCAAAATACACTCATATATTCCATTAAGTCCTGGAAAACGAGCAAACAGAAGATAACAAACTTCAACAGAGAGATAATCACAACAATAGTAAATAAATCACTACGGTACGATCCTATCATTAAGAACTGACGAAATCCAAATTTCGTTTAGAAAATCAACTACAATCTCTTTTCTTCCCCAACTTAATAGATCATCGTCTTCACAGCCAATTTCCAATGATAGCAGAAATACAAAATTAACAGCAAATTGCAAACAAATTAAATCACAATTACATAAGCCTTCCTCATTGTCGTAGAACTTTCTTAGGTTCAGCCAACAATTAAAAGCCTCAACCGAATAACGAAAATATAAACAAACTAAGATCTCAACTATTTTCAAACAAAATTACAGAAATTGACCTCAACGAGATGAAATTTATAACGAAAATATAAACAAACTAAGATCTCAACTATTTTCAAACAAAATTGCAGAAATTAACCTCAACGAGATGAAATTTATAAAGAAAATATAAACAAACTAAGATCTCAACTATTTTCAAACAAAATTGCAGAAATTAACCTCGAGATGAAATTTATAACGAAAATATAAACAAACTAAGATCTCAACTATTTTCAAACAAAATTGCAGAAATTAACCTCAACGAGATGAAATTTATAACGAAAATATAAACAAACTAAGATCTCAACTATTTTCAAACAAAATTGCAGAAATTAACCTCACCGAGATGAAATATATGGCCGCATTGCAACTCCGCCGATGACCTCTCCCCGCCGGCCGTCACCGCCTCCAAGCAAACAGAGCAAGTCTCCGCCGCCGACTTTCCTTCGCCTCCGCCTCCATATTCTCCGTCGCCAAACTCCATATAGAGATCTAACGCCAAAAATTCGAAAGACAACCGAAAGTGTGGGGAATCAATGAGCAACATAAATAGGTGGATGGACGGTTGAGTTGTGGTATGTATTCGGATAGCAATTAAGTCGAGTTTGGAGAAAGATTGTTTGGGGAATTGAGATAAGAGCAAACAGTGGACCACTTTTCTTTCTTGTTCTCCTCTCTCTTTCTTCTTCGGTTTCTTATAGTGTTGTTGAATCAATTGTGCTGGCGTCTGTTTCTTTTTTCTTCATTAAATGCATATATCATAAATTAAAATAGAATATAATAAATTTCAATATAAAAATATGGAGATAAGTTTCAGTTTAAATGCATATATCAAAGTTTGTTTTATAAGAAATAATATTTTTCTATCAGATAAAATTTACTAAAGTAAAAGATTTTTTTTTTTTATCAATATTTGCTTCTATACTGTGATACCTGGCCCGCAATCCAAGCAAAGTCGAGCGTATCGAAATCGTAAATTGATCAACAAGTCAATACAAATTATTCCAGCGTATTTTGTCCTTGTTGCACTTTGGGTGACTTCATCATCAAATTATTGTATAACATATTTAACTCTAAAGTTTTGAATACTACGGAAAAAAAAAATAAATATGCACATTGTTTATTTTAATCCAACTTCTAATTAATTTAGAACGACCCAACTCATCCACATACTAGAGATTTTAGACAAACAATGAACCTACTCTTAGGAATCAAAATATTATAAAAAATATTTATTTTCTACAAAATAATATTTTATATTGTGTATATTTTTTTTGTTGCAATATAATTTTTAAAATATTTAAATATATATTTTAATTTTTTTTAATCATATATATTAAACTATTTTAAAATTATTAATATTATTAATTATTTAATTATATAAAAATAATAAAATAATATCTTAATTCAATATTATTAAAGAACTAAATATTTTTTTAAAAAAATATTCTGTTAATAATGAAAATAATCAATTATTGGATGGAGTATATGATAATATTTTTTTTAAAAAAAAATTTTTAATATGAAATTTTATGAAAAAAAATACTAATATATTTTTATTTAAAATTGTATATACTAATAATAATATTTTTTTACTATATTGCATGTTGTGAAATATGTGATGGTCGTCTTTACTGCTTTGTACTGATGAGTCAGATCTGATTCGGTCTGACACAGAATTTCAAACGATAAATATTGTGATATATAATGTGTTTTTTTTTTTTAAATAAAAAAAAAACCAACGAAGGCTGGTACTGTGGTTTTCGCGGTCGATTTCGTCCTCTCATGCCGGGGAAAAGGTTTGGCACTAAATTAAAAGGTATTGATTCACGAAGCAATTGTGTTTATGTGATTGATTCGTGTGTTTTTATGCGTTGGACGTATGCTCGATGTCGATGTCGATGATGAGGAGGATCTGAAACCGGAGGATGAGAGCCATGTAGTTTGAGGAAAGCATTGGGAACACAACTGTGGTGATGGATATATATATAATAGTATATAATAAGTTCATGAAATTAGTAGTAGTAGTAGTTCAGCAACTCTTCAGTGTTGCTCATTAAGGAGGATGGACGTTGAGGATTGGCTTGCATCAATTTATCGCCATTAACTGTTGATTTTGCACTTGTTGGTTATGCAGTATGTATAAAATTAGCGATGGAGGTAGAAGACGAGGAGATCAGTGAGCATGATCGATCAGACAATTTCAACGTTTCGCGAACAAACAAACCATCTCCCTTCCTTCCACCAGAAGAACAAGCTAGAAGAATACCGAAATCTGAATTTCAACCTGCCTTCCTATTTTGTATCGAATCAAATCGAAATATATTCCAAAATCGACGCCGTGGATGATGGCGACGGAGGGGACGATGGATCACGGAGAGTTGGATGATATCATCCAGCGCCTATTGGAAGGCAAAGGCGGGAAGCAGGTGCAGCTCTCCGAAGCCGAGATCCGCCAGCTCTGCGTCTCCGCTCGCCACAATTTCCTTTCCGACCCCAATCTCCTCCGGATCCGCGCTCCTGTCAGGATCTGCGGTACGTTTTTCCTCCGATCATCAATTTTACGTCCCATTTTGCTGATTTCTCCGTCGGAATCGTGAAGTTTCTCGGATTAATTGGGGATGGCGGTTTTCTGCAATTTTCTAGGGTTAGGAATTGGGGATGGTATCATTAATTCCTCCACGGAATGCTGATAATCTAACTCATCAAAATAGCATCGTTCTCGTTTGCAATACTCAATTACACATATAAATTCACGAGAATTGTGCTTCCGATTGAAGAATTCATTCTATTCGACAATGGCGATCAACTTCAAATCCGCCATTGAACATGCCATGTAATTGAAATGCTGTTTTCTGGCAGGCGACATACACGGACAGTACCAAGACCTCCTTCGTCTCTTCGAGTACGGAGGCTATCCGCCGGCATCGACTTACCTCTTTCTCGGCGACTACGTTGATCGGGGCAAGCAGAGCTTGGAGACCATATGCTTATTATTGGCATACAAAATAAGGCATCCAGACAAGATCTTCCTTCTCAGGGGGAACCATGAGGATGCCAAAATCAACCGTATCTACGGATTCTACGACGAATGTAAGAGGAGGTTCAACGTCAGGCTCTGGAAGATATTCATCGATTGCTTCAATTGCCTGCCAGTCTCTGCTCTCATCGATGATAAGATCATCTGCATGCACGGAGGCCTCTCTCCCGAGCTGAAGAAACTTGAGCAAATCAACGAGATTCCCAGGCCAACTGATGTCCCGGATGGTGGTCTCCTTTGCGATCTGCTTTGGTCCGATCCTAGTCCGAGGATTCGGGGCTGGTCTGATAGTGACAGAGGCATTTCGTGTGTTTTTGGTCCGGATGTTGTTGCCGAGTTCCTGGAGGAAAATGACTTGGACCTCATTTGCCGCGGTCATCAGGTACCATTGATTGCGATAATTTGGACTTTTTCATTGATCTGAAGTATACGTTAGAGTAGTAACTAGAGTTTAGAATGCTCTGTGAATAACATATGTTGTGTGAACTATTTATCTTATATTGTCAGTAGAGCGCTTAAATGATATCTTTCGGCACTTGCTATCATAGATAATACTTACATGTATGAAAGTTTGCTGTCATAGATAATACTTACATGGATGAAAGTTTTTATTGTCTTAAATGGAAAGTAAGAATAAATTTAACGAATAATAGATACCTATGTTTTTTTCCATCTTACACAGACAAGATCGTTAATTCTTCCTTATGGTATATTTACCCAAGGTGGTGGAAGACGGCTATGAGTTCTTTGCAAAGAGAAGGCTAGTGACGATATTTTCAGCGCCTAACTATGGCGGAGAGTTTGACAATGCAGGCGCTGTACTTAACGTTGATGAATCGCTAGTATGTTCGTTTGAGATGCTAAAACCTTCGACAACCGGTTCGAAGGTGCCCCTTAGAAAGGTAGGTATGTTCGATTTATTATCACCTTGCCGTGACCATGAACAGCATAATAAGATCATTGAAATTAAAATCGAAACGACGAATTTATTTATTTATTGTGTTGTTCTCATGTTTTTGTAACAGCCCCCAAAGCATGGAGCCAGCTGATACTTCTGAGAACTGTAGGTTGGGTCATGTTAGAGGTTATAAATGCAATGCAGTGTTTTCTTCAACTGCATGTTATAGAATGTAGATTCGTTATTAATGCAGTAGCTGTAAATGTCTTTTATCAAATTATTGTGTTCCTGATTTATGAATGTATTCATTTTTGTGTTTAGGCTGGGAGATTAGGTATTATTATATATATATGGTAAAAAATAAATATTTTAGAAAATAAAAATAAAAATTAGCATGTGGACGAAAATAATGAACAGCACCGTTAGTATGCATGTATGTATGTATTACTATTTGAAGAGAAACAGGCGGAGGCAGCCGGAACAGTGATGGCGTCCGTACGACAATGGCGGATGGATTAATCAGCAGCGACTGGAAACTTACTTATGAAATCATGGATGAGAGCATTAACCTGGTCGGACCTCTCCTGGTTGATGAAGTGGCCGGAATCTTCGAGAACCACGCACTCCTCCAACAGCGGCACGTCCTTCTTGAAGCCGCCGCCGTGGACGTACTCCTTCACCCCCGGCGTCGTGTACACCATGTCCAAATCTCCCACGATGAACTTCGCCGGAACCCTAACCTTCGCCGCCGTCCACGCCGCCGTCAGCTCCCAATTCCTGCTCACAAAAAGGTAAGTGTTAATTAAAGTTAATTCTTCTCTCTAATTTTGATTCTCTCTAAAGTCTAATCTATCTGTGCGATTGGATCGGAGCTTACAGGTCGAGAGCACGATAGTAATTCAGACCGCCGGTGAAGCCGCGGCTGTCGTATTTTCCGGCGTAATATTTCAGGTCTTCCTCGGTGAGCCACGCCGGCAACGGCGATTTGACGATCTCGGATTTGGGTCCGAACGGATCCTTCTCGGGTAAACGGGGCAGGCCCGGCGTACGGTCGGTCAGGATCTTTTTTATAACCGCCTCTGACCCGTATTCGCCTATTTCTGCTTCCATTTTACCCGGTTCCTATAATTTACATAAATAAATAAATAAAAAGACTCAGGACGTGTTTGTTTCGAATAATAATAAAGTGTACAGATAAACCTGGAATCTGCACATATAGTAATCTTCCCCAAACACGGCGCGCATGGCGGCGACTGGCTTCGCCGCCGGGTGCCGGGGGCGGAACGGCACCGTGAGGGAGACGAAAGCCTTGACGAGGTCGGGGCGGAAGAGGCAGAGGTACCAGGCGATCATTGCTCCCCAGTCGTGCGCCACCAGGAACACCGGAGCGCCGCCGGCGACTGACTCGATCAGTGCGACAATGTCGCCGACCACGTGAAGGCACGTGTAGCTCGACGCGTCGGCCGGCGCGTCGGAATCGCCGAATCCTCGGAGGTCCGGCGCCACGGCGCGGTACCCCAAGGCGGCGAACGCCGGGAGTTGGCGCCGCCACGTGTACCAGAGCTCCGGGAAGCCGTGGAGGAACAGGACCACGGGTCCCTGCCCCTGCTCCGCCACATGGATGTTTACGCCGTTGAGATTTACCGTCCGGTGCTCGATGCCGTCCATTTTTTGTTTGCCGTTTTGCCTTCGCCCCTTCGCTTATTTATATACATTGTCTGCAGATTTTGGTTACCTTTTATTTATTTATTTATTACTTTCTTTACGAAAGGGTATGTTTGATTTTTTCTCGTTTTTTTTTTTTTTTTTTTCTCTGAAAGTTAAATTATTAACATTAAAAATATTTTTATATTTATATAATTTTTTTTCACAAATATCATTATAATAGTATTATAAAATACTAATAAAAATATTTTTATCATTTTTCTTTGGACTCTATTTTTATATAATAATTAATATTCACGTATAAACATATATAGTAAATGAAATTTTAGAGTCGGACAAAGATAATATTTCTTTTTAGAATAAAAAAGTATTTAATTTATTATTTTGAATGTTCAGAATTAATTACAATTTACTAAAATAAAGATTTTTCATTTTTTTTTGGTGAGTAATAAATTTGATAGTTCAAAATAAAATATAAGTAAATTAATGTTGCGTATTCTTGTAGTATTGGAAAAGGGCTTTATCCTTTACTCATTTCTTTTATTTTTTCTTTTCTGTCTTCTTCCACTTTAATCCATTGTTTTATGCTAAAAAAATATTTATATTTAACTACCTTTATCTAAAAATGTGAATATATACATAGAGAGACAACAACATATTCTAAAGTTTACAACATTATTTCGTTTCTCTTTTTTTGGTGGTGGTGGGGAAGGGGGTTGTTGCTGCATTTTTTTTACTTAATATGTCAATTAAATGTATTTAGTTCTATATTTGAAATTAATTTTACTACAATTCATTTCATGCTGTTCTGAAAAATAATACTACTCTCTGTCTTATGTTTGTATAGGTAGACACCATAATTTAAAAGGAATATAATTAATAAATAATTATAAATATAATAATAAAAATAATTATAGATTAAAATTAAAATTAAAATAATTAATTATCTTAATTACATTAAAATAATTATAAATTATACAATTTAAAATATTATTAAATATATAATTTTTTTAAAGAAAACGCACATGAAACGGCAATATGAATAAAAATGTGAGATTAAAAAAGTATTATTTTTTATTTTTTTTTATAGAATATCATGCTATAATATTATTTAAATTAAAATTCAAATATAATATTCTGATTTTAAATCAAACCAAACACATTCAATTGTGTACTAACATTAATTGAATTGTATATATATTATCCACGACAGTAACTAATCTCAAAATCCAAAACCATTATTAATAAGTATTTTTCCTCCATTTATGATTCAATATCTCATCTGTCCTTAAAAAGAATATAGTATATATTTATTTATTTTATTCAAAATATAACATTCAAGTACCTAAAGGAAATAACCAAATAGTTAATTACTATGTTTTTTTTTTTTTTTTTTTCTTTTGTTTTATCTATTCAATTTTATTTGTGTATTAAAAACATTTCATTTAACACTCATTTTCATTAAAATTGATTATATTCAAACAATTTGCTCAAACAAAAATAAACCAATAGCTAAAGAAAGGTATTAGGTTTTACATGAAAATTAAAATATAATTTAATTTTATTTAATTTAAATCGCATTTAAAACACCTCAACCCACACATGCTCCACCTTTGACTCTGGTTCAAAACGCTGGTGAGTAATTAAATGCGCTTCACCGATGCCTATCATAATCAATTCATAGCCATTCAAATCTGCAATGTCATAATAATAACAATAATAAATAACAAATAAATATAATATTTAAAATATACTATTATTTCAAATCTACACATTACTCGAAAATTTGATAGGTTGGTATGTTATAAGATTTTTGGAGAAGTGAATTCAACAAATACCAATAACAATTATACATACATTTTATTGTGGTTTAAAATTAATTGAAACAAATAATATTTTGATGAGATATTATATATATATATATAAATCATGTATTTTTATTAAAAAAATATTAAAAATAATTATTATTAATTTTGATTTAAGATGATAAAAGAATCAAATTTATATACTTTTAACTTTTTGTTATATAAATAATATGTTTTTTCAAATTTATTTTTGATGTTATTTAACCGAAATTACTTAAAACATTGTATCAAATAGTAGTATTTATTTATTTTAAAAGCAAATGTTTACTTACTTTGTATTTGATTTTCGATTTATAATTTATATTTCTAAATGAAATAACTATCAAATTAATGTTTGTATGAAAAAATGTGTATTGTAAAATCGTAATAAAAAGTTATAAAAAATCAAAATAAACAAAATCCAATAAAATTTTACGAATACATTTAAACACAACAATATTTGCAATTCATGTGATGAATAAATTACGAAAGATGTAATGCTTATGTGCCCAAGCCGGTACCTAAAAAATAGGACTCATATTGTGTTAACCAAAACAATATATTCACAATTTATAATTTATTTGATAAAAATATTTTGCATAATGACTTAGGCAAATAATTGCATATATTATTTTTATATTATATTAACATAAATAATACTTTCTCCGTCCATTCACAAAATATACATATTTTTATTTTTATTTTATTTTATTTTTATCTAATTACAAAATAATCATTTCTAGTACCTTTTCCTACAAATACATCTACTTTATCATTGTATCGTTACTTAAACACCAAAAATAAATATAAATGAAATTATCTTTATTATATTACTTTTAACTACCACTACAACTAAAAGATTACTACCATTTATCAAAGTTAATGTCAAAAATAAATATATAAATTTTAAAATTGGATGGAGTAATAAATAATTATATATATATATTCCACAAAATATAAATAGAGTATTAAATTATCTTGCTTATTTTATGCTCAATTGGGAGGCGAGATGGCAGATGTAAATGTAGATAGTCATAAATGCATGAGTAAATTCAACGCCTACCAAAATAGCCAACCAAATACAAGCTTTTATTTTATTTTATTTTATGTTTATGTTTATTCCCCCAACTAATTGCTTGCCGCTCTAATAAATACACAGATAGATTTGTTTATTTATTTTATTTTTTCTTAAATTTCGGTTTAGTCTTTAATTTGAATAGCGAATGTAATAGTATTTTATAATTAATATATTTATAATTATCATCGAAACATGAGAAGAAGAATTGAAACTGAATTTGAATTTTAAGTAAATATAACCCATCTACTTCCTTAACTGAAAAAACCAGAATGACGTCTTATTGTTATTATATCTTTTAAACTCTTTTTAGATTGTTCTTAAATAATAAAATAATATAAAATTTTATCTTAATCTTTTTAATAAACATAAATTATTTTTAAAATGTAAATTAGATACAATTACAAATATAAACATTTGGGAGGCTTTTAATTTGGTCAATTTTGTGACCTGGGAAGCAACACAAATTGCTTCTTTTTTTCAAACCCTCAAACTGAACCTAAGCATAGAGTATGGCCTATTTGTGATTTTTCACATGTCTTTCTAATTTATAGTTTACGATTTAAATAAAGTATGTGTTCTTTCTTTGGAAAATATACTTTTCAAAAAATATATATTTTTTAAAAAATTAATATAGTACACATATTTATTAAAATTACTGGACATTCATAGACTTCACATAAAAAAATATTTTGATTTGAATTTTAATATTGAAATAATATTTAATAGAATTTTTTTGTAAGAATCTTTTACAAAAAAGCGTAAAATTCAAATAATAAATTTTAAAAATTTTGATTAAAAATTCACATTTAAATATATTTTACATTTAAAATATCCTATAAAAAGAATTATTTTCTAATCAAATATTATTTGCAATACTTATTTTTCATTCAATTATTTATACCCAAATCACCAAATACTTCTATATAAATTTTATTTTCTTTTTTAGTTAAAATTTTTATTATATTGTGACGATTATACAAAAAAAAAAAAAAAAAAAAAAAAAAAAAAAAGAAGCCTATTTCCCTCTTTCTATTTTGCTTTCATTTTATTTTTTTATATAAAAAAATAGTAAAATATGTGAGGTGATATGGTAATAAAATAAAATAATATTAAAAAATAGAGACAAACACACTCGAGAGATAAAAGAAAAACACTCCTAATTAATAGGTCTGTTTTTTTATCTAATTATCATAGTTTTATTTCCCTAAAATAATCTAATAAATTCTGTAATAATTTTTACTTTTATTTACACTATTACATTCTTAAAATATTATTTTAATTCAAATTCTAGATGCTTATTTATCTTATATACTCTCTTCATTCAATAAATATATTTTTATGTTTATGAAAAACATAAAAATATACTGTTTTTTCAAAATTAGGTGAACACAACCCTCTTCCTTTGGTACATTTTATTTATTTATATATTTTTTTCTAACAATATTAAAGCAACTGAGCCAAGAAACATGCATAAGAAGGAAACCAAAGGAAGCAAACGATGATACCTGGTGTTAGAGATCGGAATGACTGCCGTGCTCGTGCTCTCTCAGGTAAATTTCAGCGACGGCAGTGTGCAATGCAGCTCCAATCGGAAGTACGTCTTCGTCGACGAAGAAGAGCGACGAGTGCGGCGGGTGAACCGAGCCTACATTCTCGTTCCTAATCCCGACGAGGAAAATGACTCCCGGGATCACCTCTTGGTAGAACGAAAAGTCCTCGCCGGCCATCACCCTTTTACCCTCCTTCACGTTGTCGGGGCCCAACACGAGGCCTCCGACCCTCTTCACATGACCGTGTAATATCTCGTCGTTTATGGTGGCAGGGTATATCGGATTCTCCCCTTCTCTCATGCCAACGTAAGCTTCACATTTGTACATGTTCGCCACTCCGACCACAATCTACGTGCTCGAGGATCAAACGCAATCGAGAAATAATTAGTCTCTTAATTAGTATGGAAGATTGGAATTGAAGCTTTACCTCTTTCACCCTTTGCAGGAGTCGAAGCAACCCTTCCGTGGTGAGACTCGTGAGGGCGCCACCGAATTCGACAAACTGTGGAATTACATCATTGGATTCCGTCGCGCTCCGGATGTACGTAACGGAGAGCACCTGCAATCATGTCGTGAAGGTTATTCGATTTCCAAGTTCACTTCCAACATAACGATTTTTCGAGGGAGGGAGCAGAAACTTTATACTCACTTGGCTGTAAAATGGATCGGCTTCTCTCGAGGTGAGCTGCTGCAATGCCAAGATTGAGAGAGCTGCTGCGACGATTGGATCGGTGCTTTTGTGGGGTTCGGAAGCGTGCGCGCCTTTCCCAACTATTTTGGCCTCAAAGTAGCAGTCGGAAGCTAGAATTGGCCCTGCTGTGCTAACGATACTTCCTGTTGGCTCTTCAGAGTCTACGTGCATACCAAAAATGGCTTCGGCATCACCAAGAGCACCTTCGCTTATCATATGGGGCGCTCCGCCGCCATCCTCCTCTGCCGGTTGGAAAAGAAGCCTTACCGTTCCCTTCACCATCGATTATATCAAAATATCAAATTCAAATTGTGGATCTTTCCCGAGCCGTTGAAAGCAGGTTAAACATATTTAACTGGTAGTAGAAAACAGACAAGTTTGAACAAACAACGATGTAAAGAGCAGTATGGACCAACAAAAATTAAAGATCGTAACGGAGAATGATAATTAATCGACTAAGCGCAAAAGAACAAATGGTTTTGTGCAAAATTTTGTGGCAATCCCGTATCACACACACTAAATGCATTTGGAGAACAACATTATATGGGCTCAAAAGTCAAAACAAAGTAGCAAATAGCAAAAGCATCGACACTAAGTTTCTTAAATGGAACTTCACAGTCGAATATAGAAGAAAATTTGAGACTCGTGGCAAACCTTAAGCTTATCTTTCCTTTGGCTGAGTAGCTTTGCAGCGCCGAGCAGCATTGCAGTATGAACGTCGTGGCCACATCCATGCATCACGCCGTCCACTTTACTTTTGTGCTCCCACTCCACTTCTTCCTGCCAATGGCACCGAATGAAAACAACACAGGAGATGCAAAGACAAAGCCATAAAAAAGAACACCATCAGTTATCCCACCACACAAGATGCTTCACAGAAGCACAAAGAAGAACCAAAAGTTGGATGTCCAAAGAATTAGAAAGTATAGAGTTGTAAGGCACATCAAAATTGGGATATTTTTTTGGAATTTTTATCAAAATTGGTAGTGTTTTAGATTTAACAATGGCGATCATAAATTTCAAACTGCATATCATATATAACCATGGAATTTGAACTATTTTCCTAAATTGCTAGCAAATCAGAGGTCATATGATCAAATCGCTCGTCCCCAAACCCTAACTTAACCAAACAACGATTTGTCACGTCTCCGAGGCACGCCACTAAGAACAGAAACAGGCAAAAAGTTAAGCTACCACAAACGAAGAGACAACGACTGACCTGCAACGGCAGAGCATCCATGTCCGCACGCAGAGCAACGATCGGCGGGCGGCCAGACCCGATCTGAGCAACCAGACCAGTCTTCGCAACAGGATAATCATAATCAACGCCGAGTTGGTCGAGTTGATCCCGGATTAGGGCACTGGTGTTGAACAAATCGAAATTCAATTCGGGATTCTCGTGAAGCTTCCTTCTAATCAACACGAGCCAATCCTTGTCGGCCCGGGCAGCGCTCAGAATCTCCTCTGCATATCCTCGATCCCGACTCCAAGCGGTGGTGGTAGCAGCAGTGGCAGCCAGCGGCCCCGTCCTGATTGACATGGTTAGCAGAAAAAATACAAGAAAAGCTGGTAGCATGACAAGCGGTGGAGGAGGAGACATTGCAAAATTAATTGAACCATAAATTGCAAAGCATATATATATATATAACAGAATTATAGAGACAGACACATGAATCAATCAAGATGGTAGCAATCGAGAATGTCAATATCGGTTGTCTTTGTCATTTCTACAAACAGCACGAACATGAGATGACCCTCCAGAATAAAATTATGATCAGATCAGTAATCCCATCTGATCTTGCAACCATGGGATTCCAAGGCATATATGGTTTCAGGAGAAAGCAGTAGCCTTAGGGAAGCAAGTAGTTTAACCTTGTTGAGACGGGCACACCCCATTCTTAGTGCCAGCTCCAACCCACCTACCGATACGTTTCGAAGGTTCACCAGCTTCGCATCCTGGATTCGCATTAGGTTCCCCATCACCATGCATAACCCCACGTCCGAAATTGTCGACCCGCTCACGTTGATCTGCTCAAGTTAAAACAGGAGTCAGTAAAAACATCGAAAGGATCTCTACTCTACGGCTATCATCATTGTCATGTCATCGGCACAAATGCCGGATCACTTGTATGAATATGAAGAGTAAACAGCACTAGTCAATGTAACATGTCTATAAGGTAGGAGTTGCTCTGATTGTGATTCATATAATTAACATTGTAGGCCAACATTGATAGAAAACTCTCGACAGGAAAGGGGCGAAGAAGTGATAAAATTGCCGCGGTAACAATCTCAATAAGAACTGAATACAAAGGAAATTTGTGAAAAACCTTAATGTTGCCTCGGTAGGTAGTAACACGAAATGAAGAATCATTCTATAAAATGGATTAAGTTAGTCATAAAGCCTCACTACTTACCATTCCATTAAGGGAAATTGTTAGTTGCCGAAATGTTATTTTCAATCTGAGTCATATCCATAAAAGGATTTACAATATATCACATACACATTAGAGTTGATACGAAACAAATAGCTAACGGATGCTGGATTACTATCAGCTATACTCCCACATCACATCTTAGCTTTACATGAATGCTTTCAACGGCAGCTAAGCCTCAACGATGAAAAAGTATACGGAAAAAATACTAATATAACAAAAAAAACAAAAGTTCACTATCCTTAATGTTAAACTGCATTCTGCATCCCTATAGTCTCAACATCTTCTAATTTAAAGCGTTTATGGACTTAACAGGTTTCAAAGATGGCACTAATGGAGGATAAGTACCTGTTGCAAATTCTGTGAATAGTAAGCCAAAGCCCAAAATCCAGAGTCATCAATGTTCCCACAATTTTTTAGATCCAATTCTGCTAGTCTCCTGCATCCAGTTGCAAGTTTTCTCAAGCCGATACCAGTAACATTTTTAAGGCATCGCATCTCCAGGTCTGATAGCTCCTTTAGAGAACTCAAGCATTCGATCCCTCTGTCAGTAATCCTACTGCAGTAGGATAAGATTAACTTCTGTAATTTTTTGCAGCCATGTGATAAAGCAGCTATGCCATCATCACCTATACCCGCACACCTGCATCAGAAGCTTTTGATAGATTACCTCACAAGAATATCCAATAATCGTAGCGAAACCTCTTTCTAATGTTATGAACCAACCTGTATACATCCATCTCTCGAATCTCGAAACAGTTAGAAGCAATGTAGGACAATCCCTTGTCCGTAATGTTCATACATAATCCAAGTTTCAAGGATTTCAACTCCGTACACTTGGATAGATATTTCAATCCTGCAAGAATTGAATCGTTATAAAGCTGTATGATCTACTCCGAAACTGTATTTTTAAATACTTTAGCTGTTATTGTCATTGAATGGGGTGTGATGAAATAAATACCTTAATAGATTACCTATGTCATTAACTCCCGAACAATCTGTAAGATCAATTTCCTTGAGCAAGAAGCATCGAGAAGCAAGATAATCAAGGCTCCTTTCAGTGAGCAAGTTGCAACACTCTAACTGAAGGCATAGGAGACCTTGACAATAATTTGCTACGGCAAAAATTGCATCATCAGTGAGGTCACTGCAGCATGTTAAATTGAGTACCTTCAGATTAGTACAACCATTAACAAGCTGTACAATGCCTGCGTCGGTAACCCTGCATTTGCTCAGCCCAATTTCAGACAAAAACCTGCAAGTTTTGCTAATAATTCCAAGTGTCGAGTCTGAAACACGTGCACCATCAATTCTAAGTACATTGAGCTTCTTTAGGTCCATAAATTGATTACTAATGGCCAGGCGAAGGTCCTGATAAACAAGTGCATCCAACTCTATAAAGAAAAGCTAAAAATAAATTGGTGATATGACTCAAAACTGAAGTTTTACTTACAGAAAAACAGTAGCTAGCATGAAGCTGCAACAGACAGCAATGCCCTTTGATTATTGATCCCAATGCCGATGTACTCAATCGGTCACATCTCGATACATCCAGTACCTGGTGGGAGTATTTTAATTTAGAGATCGGCTACCTATTACTCCATTAAATATCATTCATGCTGAGGTGCAACAAATATGCAGAATTCACATAGTGTAATGCAGTGATTTCAAGATGATAGTTGCACAGATGTGTATACCTGACAATACCAAGCACAACAAGCATGCTTGCTATCAACAGGAATGCCTTCGAGAAAAGAAAAGATATAGCAAATTAGCAATTATAATTTAAACACTTACGCATACTTATAAAGCATAAACAGGCACAAAGAAATTAGCAGCCTGCACACAATCATTAGCAGCATATTTTGATATTTTGAGAATGTGTCATATTTTAAGGTGACTACAAACATGAAGCATCTACTATTCCTGGTACTGAAACAATGGATCCAAACATCGGTCAATGACTTATTACCCATATTTGTTAATGCTCATCAAATTTCATATATATATATATATATATATAACGATAACCATACAAGTTATACATGAGACCACTTCTCCAAGCTAGATCATCATTTGATAAAGAAAATATATCATTCGATGGATGCAAGATAAATTAGAAAGCGTTTCAAAAGTAGAAAAACTACTTCCTAAATGAAACAGTGAATGAATGAACTGGAGCTGCACGGACCTTAAGGGAAGGGCATCCTTTCCCAATGTATTCCAAGCCCATGTCATCCACCAATCCGCAGCCCACCATCTTCAGTATTTCAAGTCTCTCCATTCCACTAATCCAGCGCAATGAATCGCTGGTAACCTTAAGGAAACAAAATCGAAATCCAGAAAATTAAGAATGTAATCAGCATAATTTAGAAACTGAAAAAGTGCATAGGATCGTCATGCAACTATACAAACGATTAGAATTCAGACCTTTAAGTATGAGATGTCAAGGTGTTTCAATCCTGTGCTTTTTTTGGAAAGGAGCTGAACACCGAGATTGGTTATGTCAAAGCACCACTTGACGCTAAGTTTCTCGAGATTAGGACATCCGATAACTATCTTAGCCAGTCCAACATCGCTGATGTTCAAACATTTGTCCAAATTCACCTCCCTCAACCCCGCGGCGCACGAGAGCGCCGAAGCCTCTAGATCGCCGAATCCACAACAATGCGAAACGTCAACACTCTCTATGCTCGAGCAGCTCCTCATTAGCGCCTCCAGCCCATGGTGCCTCAACCCGGTGCACCGGCTCAGCGTCAGGCGCTTGATCCTGGTCCAGATCGGGCGGGATGATGAAACAATAAAAGGAACGGAGACATCATCTATCCGCGGGCAAACCGAGAAGTCCAGCGAGACAATCCGAGGCAACTTAGAGAGCAGCGACGCCAGGAACTCAGGGCGGAGTAGCCGGAGATGCGTCCGGTGGAGCGAGTCGATCCGGTAGAAGGACTTGCAGGTGGCGCGAAACGATTTGCGATCGGAGCCATCGGTTAAAAAGGAGACGACCTTCAAAAGGAGATCGTCTGTGAGGAGAGCGATCGCGGCATCGATGTCCATCAATTTTTGGGGAAAGTGATTAGGTGGGAACGAAGAGGAAGAGGAGGAGGGCGGGGGAGGAGCAGTAGAAGGGGAGGAGACGGCGGTGGAAGCGCATGGCGGGAGTTAGTGGCGACGGCGGTGGTCGGAGGGCAGAAAACACATGAGGGAGAGAGATAAGCTGAGAGATGAGTGATAGATAATCTGATATGTACAGTGCAGTGCGGTGTTGTACAATATGGTACAGTTAGCTTTCGTGTTTCACCCAATTTGGTTTTCAATGATACGATTTTCTCAATAAATAGTAAAATCAAAAAATTATTCTTAATTCTCATTTATTATTTATTTATTTTTTATCATTTAAAAAATAATTTTTTCTATTATTTTATTATAAAAAAATAAAAAAATATTTCTATCTATTATTTTCCAAATTCGTGTGGTCTCAATTCAAAATATCTTTATATTATTTTTTTTACTTAAATTATATATCATCACACGTTGAATATTTTTTTTTACAAAATTTTTTTATACATTTTTACTTGCTAATCAAATAATACTTCTTCTGAATTATGTGCTTATGTAAAATCTTTCCTAAAAAAATAAATGATAATAAATTTAGATGATAATAAAAAAAATGAAAATAAAATTGGATCACGAAAAAATATTATTATTTAATTTATTATAAAATAAAAAACTAATTAAATAATTAATTATTTTTATTTTAATTTATAATTATTTTTATTATAAATATTTAATTATATTAATATATTGTTAATTGTTTACTAATTTTATTTTTTAAAAATTTTGTTTTTACAATAACGATAGCAAGGTATCTTAAGACCGAGAAAGTAATTATTTAAATTTTAATTTATGGACAAAGACAGTCATCATAACATAGCTATGTATCACAAATCCAGGCCAACTTATCAGATATAAAATCTTACAAATAAAATAAAAATATTTGCAGAACAATAGAATATATTATAGATATTATATTATATATAAAGGTCGTACATGCGTAGTGATGTCATGGATGACGGGATACGCACGCATACCCCAATTGTACGATATTGTACTGCTTACCACTGTGAACCGAATCATCACCGTTCAATTGTCTGACGTAGGCTATAATCCAACGGCCAGATTCGCATCCACCTGGAATCCGTCTGTTTAAGTACGGCTCGGTACAAAAGTAATTAATTTTTTTTAAAAAAAACAAAAACGGAAAAGAAAAGTAATTTTCTATGGGCCCTATCGGACCGTACCTATATTCAGATCGTACGGTCGGAAGGAAGAGAGAGAACGACGTGGCATCGTACGGACAAGAAAAGTCCAACGTCTATTTATTATTGGAAAATTTACATAATTTTGACCTAGTGAATGGACCCACTTATCTTGTTTCAACGTTTATCCACACAAATTTTAAATATATATATATATATATATTATTTATTTATTTGGAATATTTGGAATGCCTTTAAAGATTTTTTTCTTTCCCTCTTGCTTAGGAATAAAAATTTAAAGATATGTTTGCATATTCGGTGATGGGAGGAAGATTGTTGAGCGTGTTTTCTTAGTTGAGTTTTAATTTTTTATAATGTAATTATTGTTATATGTATATATTATTATTTTTTTTGGGCAAAATAGTATAAAATTCTTCGTAGTTTATCGAATTGGCTTAAAATTTTTGAATAGTTACCCTTTCTTCTAAACTATACACTTTTTAATATTTACACAAACTGATCTGCCATTTCTAAATCATCCTTCTTTCTTTTCTTTTTTCTTTTCTGTACAATCTCTGCACTTTCTTCTTATTTTTTCCTTCCTTCGACATCTTCTTTCTTCACTTTCTGTCTAATTCTTCTTCTTCTTTGTTTCCTATCTTAGGCGTTTTATCTATTAAAAAAAATCTAAAAAAAGAAAACTTAAATTGTTAAATTAATTAATTTTTTAATTTTCAAACTCAAAACCAATTTCTCTTGGGTGAATCAAACAAGTTCCATAGCTTCATTTGTGTTCTCGTCAAATTTGTTCACAACACTGCATTAAAATCCGCTGACTTCAATTTCAATTTATCTTGCGACTCTAGCCTCGACACACAGTGCGCCAGAATTTCCAACGGCTTCCTGCTCGATTTCGACCGGCATCTGAGCGAGGAGTTTAGTGAGAACTTGATTAACGATTTCACTTGCCGTGAGGATGATGAGGTGATTGGGAGGATTAGAAGATCTTAGCAGGCGTCATAGTTTATCCTAATTGTTGACTCTCTATTCTCGTGGCAGTGGACAGTGGACGTCGCCAAGAAATACAACCTATGGGTTGGGATAAAATTTGAGGAAGATTAAGCAGAAATCAAAATCTCATAATTTTACTAATTAAAAAAAAAAAAAAAACCTCAATCTCTCTTTTCTACCCCACATATAATAAATTTCAAAATTGATAGATAAAACCAATGAAGAAGACTATTGATTAACCGAGAACAAGAAAGAGAAAGTGAAAGAGAGAAAATAACTTTATTAATATTTAAGGGTATTTTTGTAATATTAGACAGACATATCAGTTTTCGCAATAAAAAAAATTGCAGCTGTGACATTTTAGTAATCACGAGTAGATTTTATGTAATTTTCAGACCACGGGCATTTTCAGTAAATTCTTATGTTGTTTTGCCTTAGTATTTTTTAAAAAAATTATTACAAACCAATTACTATTCTTCAAACATTAAAAAAAATTCAAATTACATCAAACTATAAAAAACCCTGCAACGTTTAGACTTAATCCATTGTTTAGAAAATGTTACGCAAGTGGAGGTTTATAGTGTTTTTTGTTTTTTGTTTTTTGTTTTTAAATAATATTACCTAATTCTGAATATATGGTAAATTTAAAAATAGTAAAGAAACAAATAAAGAGTATATTTTTATAGATGCTAATTATTACGATATTTTGAATATTAAATAAAATATTGATCTAATATGTTAAATATAAATAAATTTTAAATATAATATTTTTTAATAGAAGTATTATTAGCTAATCGTGCCAATTTTCTTTTAAAGAAAGTGAAAGCATAAGCAAACAAGGTGAATACTAGAGTATGTACAATGACTCAGGCCTTTATTAGATTTGTCAAAACACTATTTGTTTGACTATACTATAGTGGATTTGTAGATTTCTTAATTGTTTACAATTATCAAGAAAAAAAAAAAAAAAAAAAAACTTAATATTTTATTTACATAATCAATTTTTACTTATTTAATGACTATTTATTTTAAACAATATCACATTAAGTATATCTTTTTTTCTTACAAAACATAAATTCAAATATTAATTTGTTACTTTTTTCAAACTTATAGAACTCCAAAAATTTCAAAAAAATCATTTGTCTGCACGGAGCCTAAGCCATAAAGCAATAGATGACTTCTTTATATAAACAGATGGATCGGGTTGAAGTCGATTTCCTCTAAAAACCCGCTACCCGCCCCAGTAGTCACGGGTCACTAAAAATGTGCATTTTAGGAGAGTCTTGGCTCATCAAATCGGGTCGGGTCGGGTGGGTCTATGTGCATCCCAACTGCTTCTACCACAACTCCTTATAACAGAGACAAACAAACAAACGTTAATCCAAGTTTCTTCAGATGATTGCCAATTTACCATGCATTCCTATTCTTCCATGTTCCACCTCCCCAACCTCTTTCCCACCCACCACCACCACCACCGCCGCCACCGCAGCCGCCTTCTTTCAAAGTTATTCCGGCAACCTCCTGCAGTTCAGTATCCACTCGATCAGTCGAACCACCAGCAATGGCCGCGTCCGCCCCCACCGGGCTCCCCCACCTGGCGGCAGCAGTGGAGCTAGCCGGCGGCTCAGCCACGTCCCAGCCACTTGCAGCCGTCCCATCCCGCGCTTCACCCACTCGCATTTTCTTCATCGGGATCGAATCCTGCTGCCGCCCGAGTCGCCCCCGGCCGCGCGGAAACGCATCCGAGTCGTAATTCCGGGTCCTTTTCCCGGAAGGCCGTCTTCCCGACTTGTTCCCTTGTCGACGATAATGTACGCCTCGAGGAACCGATGCAGCGCCGTACCCGTCTGGTTTGAACAAAAGCTCCTTAAGCCTAACGGCTTCGATCTGCCCAGCCATGAAGGCGACGACGTGCCGGAGGGACGTCTCAATGCACTTGTATATCTGTTTCACTTCCACCTGTCCCACCGCCCTCGCGACATTTTGGGTCGGATCGGTAAAATCCTGAACCTGCGACATTTAATGTCGATCCTCGTCAATTACGCGTATCGGAGGGAGTGTAAAAATGTTTACGGGGTTGTGATTACGCTGATGCAGGCGACTTTAGAGTCCCATGTTTTGGATGTCCAGCTTGCGGTGAGTGTGCTCGCACAGAGACCTTTCGGCCAAAGTTTCTCGACCGATGACAGCTGCAAGGTGAAGAGAAAACTGAAACGGTATGAGATATGTAATAACGTCGAGGAAAATCGGACATTTCTGCTAATTTTGGTGCCGAACTAAGTGTTACTTTGATTAGTAGAGTGGCAAAGAGCTCGGCCAAAGATTCTTTGTTTCTTTTCCCGTAGTTCGCGAACTTGGAGATTGATTTCTCAAGTTTTGCAGGATCCATACCGTCTGTATTATAGAACACACAGGCAAAATGTCCATAAATTAATAAAAGAATCGAGCCATTATTATGAAAAGAATCGAACCTAGAAAAGTGGTGAGATGGTTCCTCGACATAAATAGCTTATCTAACTGCATAATACGATAAAATAAGATCCGTAATCGTGGCAAACAAGGGAAGATAGTAACCTAATTGTATCATTTAAGAAAACAAAGCCCAAATAGAGAAAACTTAATATTCATCTTCGAAATATATTTATGATGCCAGATTCTACTCACGTAAACGACATAATTAATGGTTTCCAAAAATACATAAATATTCGTTCCACTTGGGCGCATGCCGGAGCATCCAACAACGAAAATCTAAGTAGGATAGGAATTTAATAGCTATAGGAATTATGGCTACACTAAGGTCATAATCAACCATGCTGAAAGATACAGCTACTAATTATTCTGAGATACGAAAGAAGATAATGGCTCGAATTTATTTACCTTCAAATATGGCAGAAAATGGAGGAAGAATTGGAGGTTTTCGAGTCTGCAACAGACATAAATAATCACAGTGTCTTAGATGAACATTGATTGAGGTGTAGACAATATTTAAGTATAGAAGCAATGTAATAATGCTGCCAAGTTGACATGTTAGAACTTAAAGAAGTTACCGCAGAATAGAAAATTTATGATATTAAATGTGTTCTATATCGGTAAGGCACCGGAATTGCTGCAAAACCAACTCTTGTTATACTCCGTACTCTCACCCGCGCATCAGTTCTCCAATATGTCAGATTCTTTTTACTCATTCCACTCACTCAGTCTTAGTCCTTATTCTTGACACTGAACTCGGCTTACACTAAATATTTTGGTCTTTTTCTTTCATTAGGCACCAAACACTAGTTCGAGAAGATTGTTGGCCAAATTATCATGTAGTCTTCATATAGAACATATATATATATATATATATATATGAGAGAGAGGAGAAAGAGGTTAACTTGATGGAAAATCTATTCTAAATCATAACTACAAGAATCATACAACTAATAAACCCATCAAATATTATGCAACACGAAAATGAATGTATCATTTAAAAGCACAAGCAATATATATGTATAAAAACAAGTTTAAAAGTCTACCTGCAAATGAAAAGCAACCAACAAGATTATGGAAAGAGAATTCAAGGTTTTGTCTTTCGAACTGTTGATGTTGTGTGCTCTTGCCCAAGTTTTCATCTGAGGTCAGAGCAGATAATGGTTATTATAAAATGCAGGAAGCTATTACTAATTTAAATAAAGCAAAACACATACAAGAGTCCTATGGATTAAGGTAAAAACACCATAAATTGTAGAAATGTATTTTTAATTGAGATCAATAATCATATTTCAAGGGTTGAGAAATAGTAGAAATTTTACAAAATCATCAGTACATTATTAGCATGTCATTAGTACAACGCTTTATTGCAGTAACGAGTACCAAATAACTTATAAATCCCTTTTACGTATATAAAAAGGTAGCCAAAAATGAATCAAGCTAATATACATTTTAGTCATATATCTGCATTTGAGAGGATACTCAATCATAACTATAAAGTTATCAGGTTTTGTCCTTTGTAAATAAATCAAGCAGGTTTTTGATGATCTAATTAATCCTCTAGTTAACTCTTGATCTTCATCCTTATTAATGTTCGTAACCAAAATAAATTTCATTCATTTATTATTCATTTCATTCGATCATATTTTCTCCATTACCCTTGTTCCCCAAATCATGTAGCACAAGGACCGTCATTCTGCTCTAATAAACCAAGTTACAGTATATTTTTAATTTCAATAATCTGAAGTCCAAAACCATACAAAGGATAAACTCATCTTATACAAGAGCAAGCTGTGTCCTTAGAATTTATAATGGCAAAAGATATGCACATTTGTAAGAAAGTGCCAAAAGCTTTGACCGGAATTGGGATAACATATATTTCAAAAGACATGAAGCAGAACTTTACCAAAAAGCTTAGCTTGTGAAACCTTTGTTCAGTGGATAAGATGATGCGAATAATCTCGGACTTCAATATCCCATCCCTATTTTCAACTGATAAATCACACTCAACTCCAGTTCCACAGTCCACACATTTTAGAATAGGCACCTTAGCTGATGTAACTGGAAGAACCCTAGAAACATGACCTTTAACTGAAGCCAGAAGATGAAATTACATGAGACATACTATCCAGTGTCATATAACCATCACCAACGATACTCTTTTCCATTCTGAGTTCAATTCAGAAATCTAAAAGTTTATTGGTCAAAATGATCATCGATCCAGCACAATAAATACAAGTTAAGCAGAAAACAGATGTTCAACAGCTTCCAAAGCTCATTTTCTTCTCCATATTACACATTTTTCCTAACTCTGTGATTACATTTTATAGGAAATTATATTATATGTTAGGAGCACCTCTACCCACTATTAAACCATTTTTTGCGGCAAAAAGTGCATAGTGATTAATGTGTGCATAAATCATCATTAGGATAAATGAGTTCATACATTTATAATGGGAAACAAAATAATGGAACATGATCATTTCTATGTGGGGAACATACTTTGTATGGCATATAACTTTCTTGCAAACTTTCTCAAGGTTTGGATCTTCTTCTGACGAGAAAAAGTACCATCACCGGATTGAAAATTTACAGATAAATCAAGGTCACTGGTGAGGCTGAAAAGATCCATAACAAACGAACCAAACTCCACAACAATTGGAATATCTTTCGAGTTCCCTGAAATGGAAGAGTGATACAATAACATCAACAGATAATAAGTTACAAACATCAAACATTTAAGGCAAGATACTAAAAATGAAGCTCTACATGAGCCCTTACATAAGAAAAAACCATATATGCTACAAGATTACCATAAATTTGTTGTGCAATCTCATTAAAGACACAAACTAAATCTTTTCGAGCCTGGTAATCAGACGGTTTCGGACGCCAACTGTCATAAACCTCTAGAAGCAGGGGCTCAAGAGCAGACAGTTGCTCCTTAGCTACTTTAGCATCTTGCAACTTCTTCAGTTCAAACTTTTCTGCTTTCTTCTGCAGAACTGAGTCAAAGATCACAACAGAGCATTACTATACTTATATATCAATGGCTTAGAGCACAAATTGACAAATAATGCAAAACAACAAAAGCTGCAGTTCTGAAACAATGAATCATAGCAGTACAGTCACCAGTTATCTACACTTTCCACGCAAATAATCGCAAGTTATTTAAAAAATGAAGCGAATAGCACCGTAAATTGAACTAGCTTAACAGCAAACCAAGGCAGGCGGTAAACATGATTCCTTCTCCATTCATACTCTTCTTCAATGTATGTATACTAAGTATTAAGCGTATGAACGAAATTCTGCCATAGATAAATAAGATTGAACTAAAGCTTACAGAAACTCACCCTTTCTGTGATACGCCATGCCCTAATCCACTTTCAACCGCGAACCACTGCCACAAAGCAAGCGAATAGCGATTAACATAAGAAGTTGAGAAAAGGTTCCAGAAGTAGTTGGTTACTTGTTGTAAGTTGTGGTGAAGTTGTCCTCAGACCGTCGTCCATGGAAGCTTGAGCAGCAAAGGGAATACGCTCTAGGGATTTGTGGGAGGAAGACGAGACGAGCTGCCAAGCTGCATCGCACCACTAATTAACCAATATTTATGGCGACTTTACATTTCTAGATATATTATGAGAATATTGAGTTTGTTTGGTTGCAATTGATACGAAACTAATGTTTTGATGTAATATTTATATTTTTGTAAAATTTGAATTTTGTTTTAAAAGAATTTTGGTACTCACTCTATACTTAAGTTTTTTTAGTATTAATATTGTTATGAAAATTTCAGGAAATCAAGATGAGAAAACAAAGACAAAGAACACAAGAATTTGGTAACCCAGTTCGATCACAAAGATCTACGTCTGGGGGCGCTGCCAAGCCAGGAATTTTACTATAAAGTACGCAGGCACATGTTAAAGTGAGAATACATGGATATTTATAGCCTAAGCCTTTGACAATAATATCCAAAATTGTTGGGATATGAAGCCTGATTATATCCTAAAATCTAGGGATATGATTTGGATATTATATTTTAGATTTTAGAGATATGATTTGGATATTATTGTCAAAGGCTTAGGCTATAAATATCCATGTATTCTCACTTTAACATGTGCCTGCGTACTTTATAGTAAAATTCCTGGCTTGGCAGCGCCCCCAGACGTAGATCTTTGTGATCGAACTGGGTTACCAAATTCTTGTGTTCTTTGTCTTTGTTTTCTCATCTTGATTTCCTGAAATTTTCATAACAAGTGGTATCAGAGCCTAGTTCGTTGATAGGGTGGATTGAGAGGAATCGGACGTTGGATCGTTGTGGGAATCCCTTGTGACCTGCGGAGGTGCCTTGTGTCGAAAGTCTCCTGGCGGTGTTGGGTCGGTCCCGACTGGTAGGTCAGGCAGCGAGTCCCTTTGTGATAGGCGGTGCAAGGTTGGTAGGGAAGGATAAGGGTTTCGGCAAACGCAACGGAATATCCGATGTGCTCTCATATCAAGTGAACCTTAGGTTTGTTTGTGGGAGTCAAGATGGGTGATCGTCATGTTGTCAAGGTATTCGATGGTATGAACTTCGGTTTCTAAAATATGCATATAGAAGATTACATGAATGGTAAAGATCTAGATGCGGTATTGAAGGAGAAATCCGAAGACATGGATGAAGCCGAATACAAGAAGATCAACAGGAAGACGATGAGTGCGGTTCGACTAACCCTTTGGGAGAATGTCTCGACTGAATTTAGATTTGAGGCAAAAGGAAAGGGTGAAGATCAAGAATGGTCAAAGTTGAAGCCGAAGAATAAGGACAAGGAAGATGCAAGTCAGGTGGTATATTGGAACTGCAAGGGGCACTTGAAACGACAGTGCAGGGCGCCGGAGAAGGATCAGGGTTCAGCAAACGCAACGGAGGAGATATCCGATGCGCTGATTCTGAGCGTCAGCAGTCCAATGGAGTCATGGATTTTGGTCGAACGTCATTCCACTCATGCAGTGATTCGAGAATCATGGAATCCTATACCACAGGTAATTTTGGTGTTGTCTATCTTGGAGATGATGAGACACTGAAAATTGTAGGTAAAAGAATGATTCGAATCAGAACACCGAATTGTGGGGAGTGGAGATTGGATGAGGTATGTTGAAGTGGAAGATGAAATCAGTCTTCAAGTGGGAGATTGTTGGGATATGAAGCCTGATTATATCCTAAAATCTAGGGATATGATTTGGATATTATATTTTAGATTTTAGAGATATGATTTGGATATTATTGTCAAAGGCTTAGGCTATAAATATCCATGTATTCTCACTTTAACATGTGCCTGCGTACTTTATAGTAAAATTCCTGGCTTGGCAGCGCCCCCAGACGTAGATCTTTGTGATCGAACTGGGTTACCAAATTCTTGTGTTCTTTGTCTTTGTTTTCTCATCTTGATTTCCTGAAATTTTCATAACAAATATTATATTGTGTTAGAGTTAAAAAGATAAAAATATCTTTATTAAATATGTTGTAATATAAAGGTGGTATAATATATTGTAAATTTGAAATATATTTATTATTTTAAATAGGCAGTAGAATTACATGAAACGTTCTTATGGCAGGAGGGATTATAATATTTTATGAAAAAAAATTATATTTTTTTATTACAAAATCGTGCTGAGTGAATAATGATAATCTGTGTTTGAAATTACAACCAAATACACCTAATATTTATAATTTGAAATTAGTTTAAAATACTACAATATTTGATACTCTTTTCGTCCAATAACAAAGTATTTATTTTTTCATTTTAGTCCAATTTTTTTTAGTAACTGTACTCTCTACCTAACATTACAAATACCCTTACAACTTATAATATATTATACAAATATCATTATCTTTATATTACACGTACTAATAAAATTATTTTAGTTATTTATACTTTATTCCTACGTGCAAAAAGCGAATACTTACTTTTGGGACGAAGAGAGTATAAATTTTTGTTTAAATTTTGAATATTAATATTATATTTATTTAGAAGAGAAAAAAAAAGCTTTTTATTAATATTATATAATATAAAATTATAAATATAATGATATTTGTATAAAATATTTAATTTGCTTAAATTTGATGATTTGATTTTTTATTTAGTAAATTTTCTATTTGATTTTTGTACAAAATAAATTAATATTTTACATATATTTATTATAATAAACAAATATAACATTCATTTTACTTTTGAACAATGATACTGTATAAAAATTTACTAATGAACATATGTAGTATATTTTTATTAAACTTGATAACAGTATTTCTTTTCTTCCTTAACAATTTAACTATTTTTAATTTTGGTATGTTCATAACAAAATATTGTACTTTATATCTAATAAACTACAATAATTGAAAAGAAAAAGATTAAGACATTTTGAAATAATATTTTTTAAAAAATATATATCATTATTATTATTACTTTCTTCTCATCAATTTCTTTAGAGAACCTCAATATTACCAACAAAAATCAATAAACATTATTAGAGTGAATAATATTATTTTATATTAATTTACTGAATTAATAAATAGGATTAATTTACCGAAATAATATTTATATAAAATTTATATTATCTTATATTTAATTAAACAAAGTAAACATCATATTAGTTAATTTCATGATCATTTAATCTAGAAAAATGATATTAGTATTATAACATAATCTTTCAGAGTAACTAACCTTTAGAACAAATACAATAGCTTGTTCTTCGAGAGTACTTTTTAATCTCAAGCGATATTACCAACAAACCCGAAAAGATCACCACGCAATTAGACAAAGGTAGAAACATAATTTTTTAACTCGGCTTCATGCAGTAGAACCTCGACGGCTTCTAGGTCACAATTTGTTAATCTCCTCAGTTCGGAGCTTTAATACCAACCGGCAGCCGAAAATCCACTGGAGAAGAGATTCTATGCCCACCAGAATTTGAGTCTGTTAAAAGAAGATATCTTTTAGTCACTGGAAAATCCATTCGAGGTTAGTTGGAAAATAGTTCTGCAAAAGAGTTCTTCTATCACTGAAAATCAAAGTCCATCGGAGAAGTAACCGGAACCGTTGATATTGTCCTCGCCCGCCCGTGCAAAGAAATCCTCTTCTCCAATTCACTCTTACACAGCCGACATAAATCCTTTTTACAAAACTCACATTTTTCTCAGCAGAGAGCAAAAAATCAGTTGGCTTGTATGTTTGGAGGATTCTCCTCTACTGTTCATCCAATTTTTTCCCACCTAAAATATTCATTCAAACACTTATTTTTTATTTTTTAAATTATACTTAAAATCAATTTTACATTCGAAACATCACAAATACCTATTTATATGGTGTCATACAACTATTCCAATTCAAAATACTATTTACTATTCAAATCTAAATTCTCAAACAAACACACCCATATATTTTGAAAAATTCATAAACATCTCATAAAAAATGATTAAAAAAATAAAAATACACCACTTATTACAAAGTAAATTATAAGTTAACTAAAAAAAAAAAATTACAAATCACTTTGTTCCCGGTTTGCTTTTCATACAAAATTTTAAAAATATTAGTATTATATTAAATTATAATAAAAATAAAGATAAAAAAAACTAAAATATCTCCAAAATAAAAATTTATTGTAATGATTTATTTATAATATAGTGTAAATTTAAGAGTAATTTTAATTGCAAATAGATCTTAGGATTATTAAAAATAAAAAAATAAAAAATGAATATTTTGTTTTGAAACATACCAAAATAAGATAACATAGATAGTTAAAAAAACGAGGGAGTAAATAATTTTTCTAAAAAATAAAATTTCACAAAACACTTGGAAATAACAAAAATACCCAAAAATAACAAAAATACACAACTGAAAAAATGAAATAAAGCTACCATGTTAGTCCATGTGAAGGGGAATGAATTTGGATGGGAGGCCAAACCCCCTAAACCCTAAACCCAATGCATAGGGTTAAAGATGCCTTTATATAAAACTTGAAATTTGCTCATTCCCTTTGGAAAAATTTCACAAAATTAGGTCCAAAACACAGATATTATATATAATATTTTAAATATAAAATAAATTATTAATATAATATTAAAAATTAAAATTTTGATTTAAGCTTTTTCCAGAAAAAATTAATTGAATAGTTAAAATCCCTAGAAATTCGAAAACAAACACAGCCAAATAGAATACTAGAATTTCTATTTGTACAAGAAAAAATTTCTTATCTAAACTATTAAAATAAATTGAAACTGCAAGAGATAAATTGATATCAAAATAAAGAATGATATTATATATAAACAAAAAGGAAAAAAAAATATCATTACTGTTCCTTCAGAAGAAATATGTGAAATAAATTTCAATCACAAAACAATCAGAATTAGCATGGTTTATCGAATCGATCATCACAAGGAACACCTCCAAAATCAACCAAAGAAGAAAACAAAAAACAAAAAAAAAAATAACAACTCAAATACAAAAAAATAAAAAATAAAATTAGGGAAATAGCTCAGCTCAGATGATGTACGTGAGAAAAAAAGTTAATTTCCCTGACCTCACACAAAGGAGGCCTCAAAATGAGCTGGGATTAACATCTATCATCACCGCTGTGCCCTAATTTCAACCAAATTCATAAACTACAGGGTGCCACAAATGGAAGAGGAGAAAATCAAAATAAGTTAATTAAGAAAATGAGTTAATTTGTCTATATAGTGATAGAACTCTACCTTTGTTCCTAGTCATATCCTCCGCAGTTGCCCAGATCAAACCTTTAGCCATTCTTATTTGGGAATTCAAAACCTACACACAATTTAATTTCGTTAATGCTCAAAATTGATCGAATATGCATGCAACAAAATCGACCGCAGATAGAAAAAACAAGGAATTGCTTCCTCTAAATATGAACTCACTAGATGAAAGATTTTCTGCTAACTATAGATGAGAAATGCCTTATCTCATGGCCACATGACTAACATACAAATTTGTGCGAAGCAAAGAATCTGAAACCCGTTTTGCAAACTTACTGAACGATAGATAAAAGTTTCATTCCTATTTAAAAGCCCAGCATCAATAGAACGATCATGATCACCACAGAACCAAATGAAGAGAAATATCATCATTGGCTCATTGTTACCCTAAATGTGTGAAGCATGTCTCTTTTTGGATTTGGATTGAAAATCAAATTCCATATACAAGGAACAAATCAACTAATTCCACCAGTTTATAATAATACATATCACACTAGCATTGCAATTTCAAGATAAGAAAAGAAGCTAATTAGCCTTAATGTTAGATCGGAATTATATATTATGCACCAAAAAAAATCAACACAATTTGTAATTTACTAAATAAACACTTTCACATGACAATAAACTAAATCAATTATAACTTATAGTTTGAGCTATCAAAAAATTCTTCAGAGTCCTAGTACTTCGATTGTAATCTACTTCAGCCCACAATGCATCGACCAACAGGCTAGGGAAGACAGCCTACGATGATGGTGGGTTAGAATTTACCAGACAAAACCCAAACAACAAGTGTGTTGTGGCTAGATGGTTGCCTACTAAATTTTTTAGTATTATATGAGATCTTATTAAAGTAGTTCAAACAATCAAAACATCACCAATCATTGTAGCATCACATACTTGGATGTAGAACGCCATTATTCCTACTGAAAATTCAGTAAACAAAGTGGACATTTTGATCAACAAACTTGAAAAAATTTAATAAGCAAAGTGGATATTGAAGTAAGTCGAAACTGCAAGAGATAAATTGATATCAAAATAAAGAAGGATATTATGTATACAAAAAAAGAAAAAAAAAATCATTGGTGTTCCTTCAGAAGAAGTGAGTGAGAATTGAATTTCAATCACAAAACAATCAGAATTAGCATGGTTTATCGAATCATCCATCACAAGGAACACCTTCAAAATCAACCAAAGAAGAAGAAGAATAACAACAACAAATAACTAAAAATTCAAAATCAAACCAGAGAAGAATTAGGGAGAAGCTCAGACGACGTATGTGAGAAAATAGGTTAATTTCCCTGACCTCACACAGAGAAGGCCTCAAAATGAGCTGGGATTAACATCTATCATCACCGCCACGCCCTAATTTCAATCAAATTCATATGCGCTGCAGGCAGCCAGAAATCATGACGGGGGAGAAAAACGATATAGTTTAAATAAGCGAATGAAGAACTACGACCGTGTTTGTTTGTGCGATTTTCATCCGGTTTTACTGCGCATTTACTATTGAAAAACCCAACCTACTGACACAACTCAATTTCCATTTTAATTAATTATTTTTTCGCTATTGGAATTTTTTTTTACTCCGCTCGGAAGTCTGAACAGCGGCGGCGGCGACCGGCGGCAGAAGAAGCTGCGAAAGGAAACAAAAAAAAAAAAAGAGATGAAAAAAGAGATTGAGAAAAATGTTAAAACATACTCGTTTTCCTTGATAGATGGAAGCACCGGAGTAGAGGGAGAGGGAAAATGAAGAAAAAAAAGGGGGAAATAAAATAAAATAACTCACTGGATATTCCGGCGGGCGGCGGAGGACTTAGAAGGAGCAGAGAAGGAGAAAATACGAAGGAAGAAGAAAGAGTGGTGAGGAGTGTCTGGGGGAGGGCGGCGGCGTGGACTGGGTTTAGGGTTTGGGTATTAGTGTACCTTATACATGGGTATTATTTATAGTATAATGTGGAGTATTAACTTTTTATTGTATATTTATATAAATTTTATAAATATAATTTATTATTATCAAAAATTTATTTTTATTAATTTTAATTTATAGTAATATAAATATTTTAATATGTTTTATTATTTTCATTTTAAAATATAATTGTTTATTATATATAAATTAAATCAATTCTCTTTTATTATATTAAAATTTAATTATTACATTCAACGTAATTATTAGAATACAAACTTTACAAACAAATTTACTTTAAAAATTCATCTGTCAAAACATCTCAAAATCAAAACACAAAATAAAAATTTCACAAACACACTCGTACTCACTTATGTGTATATATAAGGACCATTCTTAATGGGCTTGATTAGGGCAAAATTAATAGGCCCATTTCTATTGGATTGGGCCACTAAACCTAAATTCAATTTCTTCGAACAATTCCGCCTTTGATATGTTTATTTTCATTTTTTTTTTTTGCATACCATCTCCAATAAAAAATGTATATAGTGAGTGTCTTTTTTTAAAGAATATTTTTAATAAAATATTAATATATTACATATTTTTATTATTTTTATATTTTTTATATAAATTTTTATTTTATATATAATTTTTTTAAAAAAAAAATTAAAAAATATAATAAAATTGTGGTGATTGTAAATTACTATGACAACTATTCATAGGAGAATTTTGTAAGAGCTTTTATGTTGTAAAATTAATGAAATGGTTGGAAGAATGATAATAAATTGATATAATTGATCGTTGAATATTGGACGTTGAGTTTTAGATTAAATACATTGTCAGTAAATAATATAGTTGATGGGTGAAAGTTAGATGTTGAATTATATGTTATGTTAATTAATTTAAATAGTTGGTGGTTAATTGAAATATTATATTTTTTTTGGTAGATATGCAAAAATATTTCCAAAAGAATTTGAATTTCTTTTATTCTTTTATATCAATTTAGAAGAAATATGAATTTTAGTGTTAGTATTGTTTTATTTCAAAATTCATTCTCTTTTTTTGTTTTTTCAAAAAAGAAGATAATTTGCAATAATTTTCACTTGTGCATTCAATTATTGTAGATGAAGCAATAATGTAGACCTCCATATGTAGCAATGACATTTTTTGACCACATTTTGAAATGTCTCGATAAATTCATGATAGTTTCGTTTTAGGTAATCGGATTGTCAATTGTAATCATGAGCAAGCAAATTTAACATTATTTAATGATTATTTTTCATCTAACTCATTTTATGATAAGTCAACATTTTTTAAGACGTTTTTGAATATTTCAAATTTTATTCACGACGCGTATTTCATGCGGCAATGAAATGGTTCTGGAAGACTTGGATTGTCTCATTTTCAAAAAGCAATAGAAATACTTTGGCATGTGTTAGTTTATGGTATATCGGCATATTCCACCGACGATTACATCAAAATTGACAAATTAACTAATATTGAATGTGTTAAAAGATTTTTTCATGCAATTGTTGATATATTTTCGAAATGAGAGCTCAGGGATCTTAATAAAGATAATATTAAATAATTGCTCCATATTATAGAGTTTGAATATGCAAGTCATAGCGGAAAATCATGGAACTTTTAAGTTGTGCCAACTTACGATCTTTGAATTTAGCATGCATATTTTGGTTTGCCTAGAAGTAATAATGATATTAATATTTTGCCTCAATGTTGTTTAGAGATTTCACTTTAGTATTGGTATATACAGATCATATTTTGGTTTTGCCCAAAACTAATGTATGCATTCTTAATGGGCTTAAGCAGGGCAAAACGAATAGGCCCATTATGCTATTGGATTGGAGCATTAGGCCTAAGTTCAATTCCTTGCAGAACAATTCCGCCTTTGAGATGCGTACCTTCAATTTCTTTCAGCTCCATTTTCACTTGGGTATCATCTTCGTTACCATTGACGAAAAATTCTCCCAATTTCAGCTCCATCCATCCATCGCCTCTCGCGACGGCGTCTCTTCCTTGGCAGTGCTTTTCGGTTATTGAAATTGTGCGTCGCGTTCTGTAACTACCAAATCGGATTTCGACTTCAAGCGGCGCAGCGTCCAAGCCGAAAGCGCGATTTTCTAACCGAAAAATGAGGTTTGCGGTGTAGATAGTGTTTGGAGATAGCAATTTTGTGTTGAATCTGCAACTGATTTGTAGACACCATACCATTATTAGCTCTGCTACTTGGGGAAATCTGCGAAATTGAATGGATAGTCACGGATTGGATGTAGAGAATTAGTGGATTTGGATGTGGATGAATTGATTACCTGGAATTGGCGAAGGATTTCCAGCACCAGAAGAGAGAATTGGAAGACCAGGCAATGGAGAGGTCTCTGGCGCTCAACATGTAGCATTTTTTGTATGTCACTCTCTCTATCCAAAATGCCTGCAATATAAGTACAAAGGCTAGAGTTAGTTTAAATATGTTTTTCTAGTGTTGTGAGTTAGGCTCAAGCTCAATTTTGATGTTAAACTTTAAAATACTCAAAAATAAAATTGTCTATATATATATATATATATTATATAACTTGGGTGCATTTGGTTTGTATTTGTAATTTATATATATATTAATTTAAATAATAATTTAATTTAATACTATTTTGTAATGGAAATTCAATAACAATTATAAGATTATAGAGCAAATAATTTTATTTTATTTTTTTAAAATAACATAACGTAACATCATTTATTATTTAATATATATATATATAATATTACTATAGAACGTCAGTTTTAGTTTAGTTAAACAATCGAATAAAATCTAAACTCACAATTTATTAAATAAACAATCGAGTAAAAAATTTGCTTGATGATAGTACAAATGATTAATTTATTGTTCTTAGCAAACAGAGATATCATATGATTCGGATTCAAATCATTTAGGAGTTGAGTCCAAGCACAATAATGAGATTTGCTCACCGAACAGGTCGACGATTTTATGAAATGAATTTCGTTTATAATACTCAGACGCTATTCAACAAATCTAGATATGAATGTTTGATCATCTATCAAACAAGTAGATGTATTGTTCCTACGTAATTATAGGTTTTAGCTACCGAAATTGAATCGAATGGCGATTTGCATAAAAATAAATTGCAGTTATCAAACTGAATCATCAACGAGATGCAGAAACGGTTTCGTAATTTTGTTTCCAGAATCAAACTAGTGAGAATCGCAGAAAATATATTTTATATTTACGATTACCTTTTTACCGGCGTCGATTAGAAGAGGAACCGCCGAAAGCTTGAGGAACAAATCCTTCTTAGAGGAGAATTCCACAGGAGAAACCGCCGTCGCGATAATTTCTTCGTAATCGGACGGCAGAAATTTCTCCCAGGCGAGATCGGAATCCGTTGCGCGACGGAAAAACACTGAAACGAGCGAGGAGCGGCAGGCGTCGCGCGGAGAAGTGAAGGATATGAGCTGCGCCAGGCACTCCTCCGGCAAGGAGTCCAGATTTGTGGTCGCCATTGATGGAATTCTCTCGAGAAACTGAATCAAATTGCCGCTGCACTCTACGCGCCGTTTTACATAAAGCCTAACTTACATTTGATTTGATTAAATTCATTTAAAAACAATTTAATTGTGATACAACAGAAGCGCATATATATATGGTAGGGGTAGGGGTAGGGGTGGGCGTGGGTACCCCTCAAAATTTTGATTTTATATTAATTTTTAAAAAAATATAAACAAAACTTGTATATGATGATTTTTAATTGTATTAAAATTTATTTTTTGCAGTTAACATGTCGTCATATGGACACATTCTTTGACAGAATATGACGAAATAATGTCGCCATAGTATTTTCATAACGTCTTCTATTTTCGCCATATTTTGATTCTATTTTTTCTTTTCACTCTTTTCTTTTTAATTAAATTTTATTTTCTGTAGAATAAGAATTTGTTTGTTTTTTGAAAAATTTACAACATATTTTTTTTACAAAAATTAATATATTCTACACACTTATTATGTTTATATTATCTACATATTTTTTATATCTCACGTAAAAAAAAAAAAAATAAATTCATTCAAACCAAAATACAAAACAAACAAACCCTAACCTTTACACATAGTAAGTATTTAAAATATATAAAATACTATAAATAAATTTTATTACTAGTATTAATATTTTTACAAATTGTATCTTATATATACTATTTTAAATATTTGATAGAATAATTATAAATATAGATAAGATATTTTGTTAATCTTATATTGAATTTTATTAATATTTTATATTATATTAAATGTAATTATGAATTTTGTACAAAAATAATATAAATTATTAATATCAAATTTTTTCATTATTAGGTAGAATTAAAAGAGTAAGTAAACTAATATTGATAAAATGATCCCATAAGAATGATATCATTTATCATTTTTATCCGTTCAAAAAAATATATCATTTTCTAATTTAGTAATTACTATCTACCTAACATAATTAATATCTTTACAACTTCAAATATATTACACAAATGTCATTATTTTTTTATCACACAATCTAATAGGGGTATTTTTGTCTTTCCCACTACAAATCAATATAATACTAATATTAAAAAATCTATTTGGAAAAAACAAATTTTACTCTTTTTGGGGGACAAGAGGGAGTATATAATAATGGTTGTATTTAAAAAATATATATATATATATCTAATTTTCTATTACAATTTTTTTTTAATATAAATTTGTAACTGAATGAATATATATATCTATATATAATTTAAATAAAATTATGATACGTATATACATATAAATATCATAATTTTATTAAAATTCTATGTACTTATTTTGGACTGTATTTCAATAAATTTGTGATATTGTAATTTTTACATTATGTATATTTTATTTTACAATTAGATTCCGATAATCAATAATGTTAGTGGAAATTTAGAAATCTCAATGAATATAAATAAATTTAAGGGGAAATAAGAGCGATCGACCGCATGAAGAGGAGAAATTACAATATATTGGGGTACATGAACGACAGGTATAGAATTTTCTTTGGAATATGAGAAGTGTGTAGTAGCTTTTTGTTTCATCCCATAATAAAACGTAATTATAATTATTATTATTATTTTTAAATACACATACAAAAGTACACAAAACGTAAATAGAGGTATATCAATAGAACAATATACATTAAGAGTATATCAAATTTATACTATATTATTTAATAAAAAAATAGAAAAATAGGGATTAAATTTAAATTAGTACTAAGAAGAATAGAGTAAAGATCAATTTTCTAATAATAAGGATTGAATGTAAAATCTACACCACTGGGAGTGCAGACCAAGTCTCTCAATTATCTACATCACTGAATGTAAAATCTATAATATTATCAATAAAAATATATTCCATCCGCCCCATAAGTAAATATCCATTTGCTTTTTGCATGTAGTTTTATAAATATTAATATTATATTGGGATATAGTAGGAATAAAGTAGAAATAATTAAAATAACCTTATTAGTATATGTGATATAAAGGTAATGAATATATTGTAAGTTGCAAGGGTATTTATAATGTTAAGTAAATAGTACAATTACTAAAAAAAAAATGGATAGTTTGTTATGGGACGGACTAAAATGAAAAAATAAATACTTTGTTGTAGGACGGAGGGAGTATTAATTTAGTTTTTATACATTCTCGTTAGTGTGAGGTTGGGTATTGCAATACTTTTACCTAACGCTACCAAAATTCACAAATAAATTGATCACAAGCCATACATAAAATTATGTTATAAGTTATCAATTTGAACACATCCAACGTGACAAATAACCTCAATTAATACAATTACCAAAATGTAGCCTTTTTTTTAAAAAAAAAAATGTAAGAGTTTGGTTGGTTGAAGAAAAAGAGATTTTTAGTTTAAAAGCATTTGGCAGCCGATTTTTATTTCAATTTTGGCTCAATATATTTATTAGTACTTTATTTTTTTTTCTTTTTTTTCTTTTTTTTTTTTTTTTTTTTTTCATTTTAACTTTGGTATTGAATGTGTACTAGAAATTATATGACAATTGCTTGGTTTGTGTTTTAGTTTTACTTTTTTTAAAATAATATTACAAAAATCGTATAAATTAAATAAATAATTTAAAATCCAAAATAATCAAGCAAACCAAGAATATATATTTGGTTGTGCTTTTATTTTGAAATCACTTATTATTATTGATTATGGTTATCAATAACAATCCGTAGTATTACTTTTTTACATATATAAAATATTATATTAAAATTCTATTTAAATTTAATATAACTTATATGTTATCTTCCAAGTACGTGTGTTGTCTATGATTATATATTAAGGGTGTGTTTCTCTTTGGTTGAGTTTGAAAAAATTTAGTTTGAATTTGATATTAAAATAATAATTGATATGATATTTTGTGAAAGGAAAAAATTTATTTTTTTAAAAAAATATAAATTCAAATAGTAAAATTTTAAAAAAAATTGAGCTAAAAGAACAGATCATATGTTATTAATATTATGTTTAATTTTGTATTTTAATATAATAAAAATAGCTGTCAGTTCAAAAATATTAACAAACAAATATTTATTTATTCATTCATGTTGAAATAATATATTTTTCATCTTAACAATCGATAGTGTCAGATGAGCAGAATAACAGTCTCATTTAAAAATTTAAATTATTAGAAAAATATATCATTAATTTATTTATTCCAAAAAAAAAAATATCCACTAGATACTAACATACACATAGCAAGGACATAGTTTAGAAATAACGTACAAGTTTTAAAGTACCACGATCACTTAATGCATTTATAGGAGTATTATATTATAATTTAATAAATAAAATAACTCTTTTAGGTATTTCAAATATATTAATTATTTAATATACAAGTCTTTCTAATAGTGATACTTTATAATATCATACAGATTTCTTCTTATAACAATCTAACAAACAACTAAAATTTAACTTCCACGAAATTTTCAGAGTCAAATTCAGCGTACGATCATTCATTCTCATACTTAACTGGTTAGGTACAATTAAATAATTCCATAAATTAGCATCAACAAGGCAATTATCTTTCACGTAGACTTAGACAGATAAAAATAAAAATAAAAAGCAACCAAATTTAATTTCGAAAAATAATAACGTTACCTTAGTGAAGCGACAAGGTGACCTTCGCCAACCATAACAGCTGAATCAGAAGAATGGAAGAACACAACAATGGCTGATATATCATCCATAGCTATGCTCTTCCTCTTCCTCCGCCACGCCCGCGCCGCCCGCTCCACCACCAGCCTCGCCGACTTCCCCCGGTCAGGAGCCCCAGCGACAATCCCTACAGCTTCTTCATTCGAAACCACGTCCCAAACCTGCAACGATCGATACATAAATCTATGGACTAGTAATCAACTAGAATTATACATTTTGCGCATACGAAAGAAATAATCGATCATCGATCAAGATCATAAATACCCCGTCTGTCGCCAGCATGACGAACTGGTCTTTACAAGTTATACGTCGCTGCACGACTTCAGGGACCGAAATGAGCCCGAAATCCTTCACGCAAAAGTCCCCGAAGGCGCGCGACATAGCTAGCCCGGGAGAGTCCTCGTGCGGCAGCCATACTCGATGAACGCCGGGCTCGTCTTCCAGACAATGTAGGCGTCCGTTGCAACGGATTATTCTCTCGGCTTCCTCTGCAGACAAAGTTTGTTAGAGATATAGTGGACACGAACAAACACAACGTAGGCAGGAGACTAACGAGGTAGATTGGGCTTGAAATCGACGGTAAGCTGGACCGCGACCAAGTTATCGTCATCGTCACCAACGGTGGCCAACACGGCCCGCGAGTCGCCGACATTCGCTATGAAAATAAACTCTCCCTGTTCGAAACCACAACACAGTTTCAAGATTTCAAAAATATTCTCACAAAATTATTGAGTCATATTGTAGCACTAAAAAAATGTACGACAAAAGTAATCTAATAAATTATATGGTTCCGGGGACATGATTTATGTAGAAGATATGACCTGACTAAATGTGATATTTTTTGAGGGCCACATTCCAACACAAAAGGCTATAGACAAAACCAATCAAGGCACTGCATTATAACTTGTCTAGAAGTGATGACTACGACACTATAGAAACACAACAGAATCTTACTCAATTATATCCTGAAAAAAACCAAACATGGAGAATAAAGGGGCACCTATATGAACATGTCCCACAATGGCCTGATATTTATAGCAGCAAAGTTCAATTAAAATGATAGGTAAATATATTAATAGTATTATATCATTTTGGCTGCTTGAGATTTTTCTTCAAAGTAAGCTAAAGGCTGTGGAGGTATTTATGCAGCCACCAATATGATCTAGGGATAGATAATAGGGAGGTGGTGTGGCCAAACTTATTATATATTGAGAGTCAAATTATTCTAAATGTAGTGAAATTTCATTGAATCTTTAATTCATTACCTGCCTAACAACTGTCAAGGCTGTTGTTCCGCTGTAGAATGTATCGATCCTTCGATGCTGTTCCAGCTCTTGATCGACTGAGGCACATGTCTTGAGATATGAATGCTTCCATATGTTGAATCCATGGCTCTGCTTATCTGTGAATTCGATGCTGGGATCGAGTGTAGCTGCTACCAGTGTCTCCTGCCAGTTGTGGAGAAGAGATGCAGGCATGGACTCTCGAACATTCTTCGCCACAAAATGGCCCCATGGACCATGACCGTCGAATATCCCACAGAACATCATGTCCTTTTGGCATCCGAATTCCTGAAATAACATATGGTATTGAATCAGCTACTATAGAGAGATGTGCTCTAGATTTCCATACATTACATGTTATGGTGATGAACACATAACCTCCCAAACGATGCAGCAGTCTTGGCTCACGCCCTTCTCGCCTCTCTTTGTGAAAACAGAAGCAAAATTGTTGGATCCGACAGCATTTACAACGCCTGATGTTTTCAATATCAAGTTGTTCTTCTTTGAATCTCTTGCCATAGCTTCTACTGTTGATCTTCCATCAGAGTTCTCTACTTCGGTTTTTGATTTCTTCCTTCTCTTGATTGAAAATGAACTTGCCAATCCATTGAACATTGATGACAAATGCCCCATTCTTTACCCCTCCCCACTGGTTACACAAGCACAAACTTGTGTCAATATATATGCTGATCAATAAACAGCACTAAAATGATATTGAACGAACAAATACTGTTCAATCACATAAAGCATGTACACGATTGGAACTTAGCTTACCACTGACGACTGCAGAAATAGTTTAAATAAAAAATGTTGTAGACAACATAAACAAAATCTGAATCTGAGACTTTTAAAATGGAATTCAAAAAGTACTTAAATATGGTTCACAGAATGTTTCAGAATAAATCAACAATTTAAGAAACATCAATCATGGAACATGGAATATTAGCTCATAACTTTATATCTAAGCCCAATCAACTCTGCCAAACATCAGCCTACAACTAAAAGAAAATTAACAATAATAAAAAAAACTTATACTGCTCTTCTTCAGCCAAGAGGGAAAAAACAAAAAACAAAAAACGAAAAAGCTCGTTGCGATCAAATAGACTTTTTGTTTTGTTTTGTTTTTAAATTTGAAAATTGTCGAAACAGTGAGTCATTTACAAATAGTATGAGTGTGTGGTTCCAATTCTCTCCTAATCTTAGTTTTCTCAGTTCACCAACACAAACAAACAGTACAACTACAATCATAAACAAATTCAAAAAGCTTCACCATAAAATCAGACAGTTAATACGACGGTAAAGCAAACTAATCGTACGCGAACCTCGATTTTGTCTTCTACGAAAAGCAACCTGTACTGAAATTTTGTATCAACAGCCAAGGAAACGCATAACTGATCGGACAGACGCCGTGAATCGTAAGGCGACGGCAAAGTTCCGCCGGTTAGAAGTGGCGCGCCGCGAGATTGAAGCTGGATGAGCGTCGGAATCCATGCCTCTGTGCTCTGTGCTCTGTTTGAACGTTGCTGTAATGTATGAGGACAAAATCTATATATATATACATACGTAAGAAGGCTTTTTGAGAGTTGAGAGAGACATGTAAAAAACTGAGTATGTGCAAAAATTTACCAGCTGCGACTATAGGGGAAATGACGATAATGCCCCTATGATTAATATTAGTAAATGTGGTTGGTCTGGTCTACCCTGCTTAATTGTATATTCTTTCAGTTAAAATATGACAATTTGTATAGTTAAAAATAAGCGGTTGGTAAATACTCTCATGCACATTATATTATTTTAGTTAGAAGTGTCTTTATATCCTATTTAATAAAAAAATTATAATATTTTTTAAAAATAAATATTCACTAAATTTTCATTTATTTCCATAAATCTAAGAAATTATATTGTTAACCCTATAAAATTGCCTAGATATTTTGAATATATTTTTTATAAAATTGAAAGAGTATTCAACACGACTGTAATGACATTTAACAAATAAATCAACAGTTAGCAGCATAAATTTTATATTAATGTAATATAACTGCAATAAATGAATCTAACAGACTATGACAATAATTTAAATTCAATATTTTTATATAATATGTTTTTATAACCTATTGGCATTGAATTGAATAAAATACCCATGGTCTGGTTTGTTTAATTTAATACACATAATATATAATCTAGAAGACAATGATTTAAATTCAATATTTAATACACTAACCACAACATGACAAATGTTTAGGGTATTGCTTGGTTGTATTTTCTTATTTATTTTTACATTGTATACATAATTAAGTGGATTTTTATTATTTTACTCTCTTCGTCCCATTTATTTTATCCTATAAATACGAATATTTAGAAAGAAATATAATTAGTAAATAATTAAATAAATATATTAATTAAAATAATTAAAGTACAATACAAATAATTATAAATTAAAATTAAAACAGATCATTAATTTAATTAAAATTATAAATTATAAATTACAGTATAAAAGTTTGAATGTGATTTTAAAGTATATTTTTTTTTTTAAAAAAAAAGAAAGAGAATAAGTGGGATGGACAAAAAAAAAAAAAAAAAAACTAAACAAATAATATTTGGATTTGTTTAGGAAAAAATTGACTTTAAATTTTAATTAGCAGTTTGAATATATAATCAGTTTGTTCACGTATCATTTTTCAATAGAACAAATTCTTATAAAAAATATAAATTTATACACACATTAATATAATATATATATTATCTACTCGTAAAAAGTTATTATTTAACACAAAAAATTATTTTTTATTTTACCAATATAATTCTTCATTCCACATATAAAAAAATCAATTTATCTAAAAATCGCTAAGTGAACAAACCGATTATTTAAACCAAAAATTAAATTAAAATATCGAAGTCATATTAAAAATAAAAAATAAAAAAAAACCCTTTATATATACTTTTCATTGTTTTAACTGATTTGTACTTTTAATTTGTCATTATTTTAAATAAATAGAAATATATTTATTATTTTAAATTAAAACAATTCTCCTTATAAATTTTTAAAATTTTACGAGTTTCAATATCTAACAATAAAATGTCACAATTCTATAACATTAAAAGAACACAACCAATTTGGGTTTGTGCACTTAGGGTTTTCTAATAAACATTTTTTTTATATTAATATTATTAAAAAATATATAATACATATATTGATACAAATTTATATAACCAATAAAAGTTTTAACACTTAACATATATATTTATTTAAATTACAAAATAAACAAACTCAAATTATTGATAATTTTTAATTAATATTAATTTAAATATACTAATATTTTATAAGAAAAAATAATTAAAAAGTAAAACATACAAACAAATAGTAATACTTTCAAATAACAATTAAACGATTAATAACTTTTTGAGATTGGGTCAATGATTGTGATTTGATGACTATTTTGACCAAAATATTCTACCGCATCCAATTGCCAATGATCACATTATTATTATTATTATTATTATTAAGAGACATGGTATTTAAGGTAAGGATGTTTAATTAATTAATAATAATTAGTTATGATATTATTAAATTATTTTTTTATAATTAATAATATTTATATTTTTAAAGTAAATTTAATATATATGATTACAAAAATTAAAATATATATTTAAATATTTAAAAATTATATAGCAATTAAAAAATATATGCAATATGGATATCATTTTGTAGAAAATAAATTTTTTTATAATACATGTAAATAAAAAAATATTTTTGTTTATTTATAATTAACATAAATCAATTTTATAAAAGATGTGTAGTTTTAAATATATATAAAAATATTTATTTTTTTTGAGAAAAGAGGTTGAAATAAAGACGTTTTGAGTTTGTCCTAAGTCATTATGATGTTGTATGTTATGAAGTTAATTAAATTTATTTATATTTGTTAAATATGTTTTGATTTAATAATTTTTACCAAAAATAGAAAAATGTCAATTGTTACTGGACAAACAAAAATGAAAATCGTGTCAATTGTGATGGAACGGAGAGAGTACCGGAGAGAAGGGCGAATGCGTAAGGGTTGATACAACAAAGAAAAGCTCCGCCTGGTGTTCCTTCGCCAGACGAATCCCCTCCTACCTGGCCTTTCCTTCTTCGCGCCCGCTCACGCTTCGCTGACCTTCTTTTATAAATTAGTCGGAAAGTATGTTGAATTTTTTTCTTTTTGCATTTTTTAGAACAACACATTCATTTTTTTCCAGGAAACTATTATATTATTACTAGTTTTTCAATCTTTTAAATTTAAAATTTAGAATGTGAAGAATGTGTTTATTTGCGGGGTTTTGATTTTAGATTTAAGTTTTAAATAGTGAAATTTTAAATTTAATTAATTATTTAATACGATATAAATATATATAAAGTACATCGAATGCCTAGCTTGGGACTATACGGAAATATCAGGACTGGATCGAGGCTTAATCGAGCATCGGCTTCCTTGCTCATATATCAAGGCTGAGTCTAACTCCTTATGTCTCGGAAAGACCTTCTTCGAACCAGAGACAGAGATAGCTGACCATTCCCACAAGCCAAAGGGACGAGCCAAAGAAAACTCAGAGCTAAGAACGATCAAGCAGCTGAAAATGCAACTACTCCGACTGAAAAGACAAAGACTTCCTCAGACACTTACCCTGAATCTACCTCGTATCCTAGTAGGAAGATGGAAATAATATACTATACACTATAGGAGAGTCAAATTTACTTTTACTGCTAAATTGATTTCATTACTCGGCAAAATCAACAAATCAATATTTAATTATTATCCTTTATTCAATACTTATTTACAACAAATGTCACTACATTTATTATATTTTTTCTTTTCATTTTTTTTAATTTATAACTTATTTTCTAAAAATACTCTCAACTATCTTTTTATTTTTATCATTTTTTGAATAAAATATTTATTTTTTAATTTCCGAATCCAAATATTCTAATTTTTGCAGACGTAGAAAATATTATTTAAGTAAAATAATAATAAAAATAATAATATAGTACATTTTTTTCTCATTATAATACTTCCTCCGTCTCAAAAGATTTGTCTTATTTTTCCATTTTCGTCCGTTCCAAAACAAATGTCTTGTTTCCTTATTCAGTAGCCGTGGTCTCCACTTTATAACAAAATTATTCCTATTTTTTCATATTACCTATAATTATTACTATAACATACTCTTTAAAATCCTTAAAAAAATAACGGCATTTTAGTCATTTATATTATACTTTATACCCACTTTCAGTTAAATACTATTATTCTTTAATTCCCGTGTCAACTCTCAATAAGACACTTCTTTTGAGACGGAGGAGTATTTAATTTCTAATTTATTTTATTTATTATTATCTATTTAAACTTTTATGGTAAAAATCAAATATTTCACCGTAGATAAAGATATGAAGTATACAATTGTGGGGCAACAAGTATTGTGGACCGTTGATATGGCGGTGAGTGGATGACAGCCGATCATTCTAGAAAGGAAGAGACAGAGAGAAGTAGGAGTGTGTCTTTCCATCAGATGGTTAAAAGGGACAGAGGGGGAGGATGTTTATGTGTTCCTTAATTTTGACGAAGTAATAAAAAGGAGGCTGTCATCATACTACTTTTTTGTTATAAAATTATAAAAAACTTTCTATTCATTTAAATAGACATATATATATATTTATTTATTTAATATCCAACCTATACAATTATAAATTTTTATTTATAGTTTAGGTCACTATTTAATTACCAAGGCTGTGTTCACTTTGCCAAACAAATTATACACATTTCTTTTAAAATATATATTATTTATATTTAATAATTTTATATTATCTATTAAAAAAAAAAATCTTCAACCCAATTTACAAAACAAACGCACCCCAATTTATTTATCGTTAATAAAAAATAACAATATTTCAATGTGACGGATTGAGCATTAAAAAATTTGTATGTATAAAATTATAGGTTTTATTTATTTTAGACTTTTCTACTGTAACTATGACATTATATGTTGAGAATAGTAAATAAATTTTTAACCGCAAATTTTACAAGTTCAATTTTTTTTATGTCTTCTCTATTGAAATTATTGTTTATAGAGTTTGTTTAGTATAGTTTACCAAACTAATACTACTTTCGCTCATAAAATCGGTAATATTTTTTTTTTTACACGTAGATTTTTTAATATTATTATTATACTTTCTTCGTCGATTTAATAAGTTTACATTTACAATTTGCGTTATTGTACTTATTCTATAATTGTTTTGGTATAAAAGTCCTTCTATTATTATTATAAGACACTAATATAAGTATTTTTGACATTTTTTTCTTGATTTGTACTACATCTTGATATAATAAATAATATTTAAATATCAACACACAAAAAGCAAATGTAAACTTTCAAAGTGGACGGAGGAAGTATTTGTTTTATAGTGAAAATGAAAAAAAAAAATACTTTTATTAGATTGTGTAATATAAAAGTAGTGATATTTGTGTAATATATTGAAAATTGTAAGTATATTAATTATGTTAGGTATGTAATACAATAACTAAATTAGGAAATGATATCCTTGTTTTGGTACGAATAAAAATAGAAAATGATATCATTCTTCTTATATGACGAAAGGAGTATTCACTTTATTCGTCTACTAAAAAAATATATATAATTTTATTTTAAATTGTTCAATTAAAATTTAATTATATATTTTTTTAGTAACTATAGATTATATTAATTTTATTATTTTTTTTCTTATAAATATCTATACTTCACCTTATATTTAATTTTTTTAAAAAAAGTAAAATAAAATTATTTTTACATTATTTTAAATTATTTATTTTGAAATCTATGCAAAAAAAAAACAAGATATATACTTCAAATTGGACGGAATGTATAATTCACAAACTATTGTGGAATTGCAAAGATTATTCTAATTTAGGAATATATATTTATAGGTGAAATTAATGCATGTGGAAAAGTGAAGCAATAATTCATGCACTAACCCTACCAACCAATCACATGCATATATAACTGTTGGCTGGCCACGCCAAACGACGTCGTATCACATCATAATATCATATGCTTTATTATTATTACTACTTTTTATATTATTATTACTACTTTATTATTATTATTATTTGAAGTGCTATACTAATTATATTTAGATTATTTTTATCTGAATAAAAAATATGTTTGAAAATCACAATAAACAATCTAAAATGACACAAAATAAAATAGTATTTCGGTAATAAGAGTTATATTTATCTTACGTGTGTTATTGCATTTAACATTATAAATATTGTTTTATTTATATTATAAGATATCAAGAAAAATATTTTTGTCTTTTTTTTTTAATTTGTACTTACGTTTTGATATAATATAACTCTTGTTAGTGGATGTAGATAGTATACTCCCTTTGTCCTTTTTAAAAGAGACTCTTTAAGATTTTGTAGTAGATTAATAAATAATAATATTTTATTAGTTAGTAAAATGTGTAAGATATTTTGATGTTTTTGCGACATACGAAATGGTAAAAGTGGTATTTTGAATTATGAGGAATAGAATATAAAATCTCAAAAGTCTATGACCATCATTTAGTTCATAAAAATAAACAACGACAACAAAAAACAACAACAATAAGTCCCTTAATTTGCCTTATCGGACTTAATTTGTAGATTATTAGGTTCGATTGGGGATTTACCCAGTACACACTTTCTGATAGCGATTGCAGGTTTCCATGTTATATATATATATATATCAAAAACAACATTTTCACTATATTTATTAGTCTTTTTGTTGCATTTATCATGTCCGTTTTTTTATTTTTGTTCGTTCCACTTATTTTGTCATTTGGAAAAGAATTATACACCTTAATCTTGTTCTAAATTTTTTAGTTTATAATTTTTTAAATTTTAATTAGAATAATCAGTTATTTTAATATTAATATATAATTATTTTTATTATACGATAATTAGTTTTATTAATCTAATTTTGATTATTTACTAATTGTATTCCTCGTAAATTCTCGTGTAAAATAAAGAGAACATGATAGGTGGAAAGGAAGGACTACTATTTTTTTTTAATTTATCATGCTATTTTTAAATTAATATTTAATAAATTTTAATAATATCTCTAATTTATACTCCCTCCGTCAAGTTAGAAAGTATACATATTTTTATTTTGGGATATCCAATTACAAAGTAACAATTTCATTAAATACCCAATTTTTTTCACAAATACCCCTACTTTACATCACATCATTACTTTTATACCAAGAAAGTAAGGGCAAAAATGTCATTTTATTACTTTTACCTACCCACTATAATTAAAATACTATTATTCCTTAATCTCCGCGCCAAAAGTAATTGTATACTTTTAGCTTGGACAGAGGGAGTATTAAAATATTATTATTATTTTTAATTTTCATAAATGGTGTATTTCACAATTAGCTGATAGCTGTTAGTTGATTCGATTAGAGTTTGAATATGCAAGTCATATCGGAAAATCATCAACTTTTATGTTGTGCCAAATTACAATATTTAAATTTAGCATGCATATTTTGGTTTGCCTAGAAGTAATAATGATACTAATATTTTAAATGCCTCAATGTTGTTTAGAGATTTCACTTTAGTATTCGTATATAGATCATATTTTGGTTTTGCCCAAAAGTAATGTATGCATTCTTAATGGGCTTAAGCAGGGCAAAACGAATAGGCCCATTATGCTATTGGATTGGAGCATTAGGCCTAAGTTCAATTCCTTGCAGAACAATTCCGCCTTTGAGATGCGTACCTTCAATTTCTTTCAGCTCCATTTTCACTTGGGTATCATCTTCGTTACCATTGACGAAAAATTCTCCCAATTTCAGCTCCATCCATCCATCGCCTCTCGCGACGGCGTCTCTTCCTTGGCAGTGCTTTCCGGTTATTGAAATTGTGCGTCGCGTTCTGTAACTACCAAATCGGATTTCAACTTCAAGCGGCGCAGCGTCCAAGCCGAAAGCGCGATTTTCTAACCGAAAAATGAGGTTTGCGGTGTAGATAGTGTTTGGAGATAGCAATTTTGTGTTGAATCTGCAACTGATTTGTAGACACCATACCATTATTAGCTCTGCTACTTGGGGAAATCTGCGAAATTGAATGGATAGTTACGGATTGGATGTAGACACCATACCATTATTTTTAATTTTCATATTCCAACAAATAGTGTGTTTTACAATTAGTTGACACCTGTAAGTAGATTCTATTAACTATGAGAGCTGATTCAATTATCGAATTTAACTAACTTATTTAACTAACTTATTCGATTATCTGTATGTATTAATGTTGTTTGTATTAATGTGGTAGGTAAAATAGAGTTTATACTCGTAAAATGATACTTAATAATATTTTATATTTTATTTTTAAAATATTTTGTTGAATTTTTTTGGTGGTAAAATTTTTTATAATTTTATTATTAATTTTAAAAATAAAAAAATTTAATAAGATATTTATTTTTATTATTTTAAAAATATTTTGTAAAAAACTAATATAATTTTATTTAAAAATATATATATTTTTTCAATAGAAATCGTATAAATATTTTATGACAGAGGATTATATTTTATTTTATAATTCGGAAAATGCTTAAACCCTAAACCTCGCTGCAGCTCTCTGTCCTGTTAGTGACTTTGCAGAGATGGCCGGTTCCGTCGCCGTGAAATTCTCCGCTCTCCGCCGAGTTTCTCCGATCTCCGCCGGTATCTTTCTAATCCTTAAACGAGTATTGCTTGGTTTTGATGCGTGGACTGGACTATGCGCCTATATTGTTTATACAATCAACTGACGAATTTCACCGATGTTAGATAGGATTCTCGAGAAATTGGATTAGGTTTTCCTTTTGGTTGAATTTATTCAGCACGCTTTTCCGAGTTAGCTCATAGGTTTACTCTCAAATCGTCGGTTGACGTGGGGCAGTATTTGGTTTTTCGATATTTTCTGCGTGTTAGATCGATCGAGAAGTTCTGATAAATTCAGGAGGATGTTTCATGAAATTTGGGGTGTGAAATGGTCAGATTTTTGAAACTTTTCTATGTATTTGAAATGGCTTGTTTGTTTGCCATTGCTACATTGCAGTGCTGGGCTTGCAAGGGAGGTCGAGGTTGTTCTTCTCGACTAGCTCGATAGGATCAGGCGACGAAAACAACAACAACAACAACAATAACAATAAATTGGAGGCAGAAAGTGGTTTCGACATCGATGATGGTGATTTTCTTCCAGAGAGGCCAGAGTTACAACTCCAGGGGGTTGATCCAAAAAAGGGGTGGAATTATCGCGGTGTCCACAAGGTGAGGGATCATACATAATTTGAAGTTCTAAAGCATAGTATAGTAGGTTAGAAGTTATTGTTGATTATCGACTTAAGAAGATTAGATGTTTCTACTCTAATGATGCTTCCCCAATCGTGTTCATATCAATTTCAATAGCTTATAATGTATCAACATTTCGATTTTGGAGAAATTAACAGAAGCAAGGTTGCAAGCTCATTGTGATAGTTTATTTAATTGTTTTCAGCTTTATTCAGTAGTTGTTAGTGAGAAGCTAGTTTTTGATGGATTTGTTTTCATTGAATCTCAAAATCACGAATATTGCTTCATCAAAAGGAGTAGATGGCCATATGGATTATTGGGATCGGTTTTTAGGCCTATGGCCGCTATTTTGATTTGTAAAAAGGGATAGATGTCTTTCTTCCCGTAGCTCATTTACGAGACTTGACTTTTGTGTGTTAAAATTCATTGGTGCCTATATGCAAATAACACTTGCTTCAAAGTGTTCTTGCATTTTGGCTTTTCAATTGGCGATCCTCTCATGCCGTATTGTTTTCTTACCCAGGCTATTATATGTGGTAAAGTTGGTCAAGCTCCGGTCCAGAAGATACTGAGGAATGGTAAAACTGTAACCACATTTTCTGTAGGCACAGGAGGGATGTTTGATCAGAGACATGTGGGTGAAAACGACTCGCCTAGGCCAGTTCAGTGGCATCGGATTGCAGTGCACAACCCTATGCTCGGAGCTTATTCAGTTCAACAACTGGTGAAAAAGTAAAGGGCAATGAATTATTTCAATTTCAGATAGATGTTTCTTTCAAGTTCCGGCTAATTATAGGAGCTTGTTTCCAGCTCTTCTGTATATGTCGAGGGCGACATTGAAACTAGGATTTACAATGACAGCATCAGCGGGGAAGTAAAAAGCATACCAGAGATATGTGTGCGCCGAGATGGTATGTAAATTTTACTTCTTGGTTACTTGCTTAGTTGATGTCCAAAATCCATATGGATATTCTTTCATCGAAATATCTTCAAGCATCAAATTCTTATTATTCTATGCTTGTGCTATGAATTTCAGACATCTTTTTCGCAGTTCTAATTGCAGATAATAGTCTTCTAAATTTTAGTTCTTGGTTACTTACATCTTTTTCAATATGCTACTCTTGCAGGAAGGATTCGACTTGTAAAATCTGGGGATAGTGGGAATTCTATTTCCTTTGACGAGCTTCGTAAGTTTTCCTTAGGTTTGTCTATATATTATGGGTTCACAAGTTTTCTCGCTGTCTCAATGCCTAAACTTTACTTACAGGGGATGGATTGTTGTAGTGAATCACTGATGGCTACAAGTTTCTGCCAATGTAAGCAGTCAACAAACATAACTTATCAGTGCCTTAACCATTTACTACATACATTTTCTTCTACTGCTCCTTTTTCTCTATCTCAGGGTTGGATTGCAGAATTAGGCAAGTTTACGACGCATATTGAGATTTTATGGACCTATCACCGATTTCACAGTAGATGAGCAATGTACGTACGGGTAAAGAATCTTAACCCCAGTATTATATACATCTCTGTTGCTTTGACTATGAACCTTAAAAAGCCTATCGAGTCTAACTGCAAGAAAACATGTCATGGATTCTATCAAGTCATGCTTGCATTTATCTAGGTTGCGATTTATGCGAAATTCATTGGCCATTATGCAGGATTCTAAAAGCACAGCAGATATAAGAAATTTGAAGTCACAATGTAGTTCAATTATGCATATAGGATTCAAAAAGGCCCTCGAGAGGGCTCTATACATTTTTCATATCATCCATGCTTTTCTTCCTTTTTTTTTTGGTTCAGTTTTTGTACAGCGGAAAGAATTACAAAACCAGTGGTATTGAACACACTCAAACAACACTCATTAACATGACAGACACCGAACAAAAAAGGGATAAATCACCAGAATCGAAATCTTGAAAACAAAAAATTGAAATAAAATGAAACACCAAAAGTTGAAGCATTCACAATATTATCCATGCATGGCAACTATTTACTCAAGTTGTGTTTTTTTGTCATACCTTAGCTCTCACTTCCCAGCAGCAGCTGACTTTCGTTTAACGTCAACGAGAGCCGGTTGCTTTGCATGCTTCCGCAACGGGGACTGATTTCCTTTGTTGGAGACCTTCCTTGCTGGCTGTTGAGAAATTGGGCTTCTGTAAGAGGAAAAGAGGTGAGAGTTAAACAAAATGCATGTGTCTGTGTTGTGTGCAGTATCTAGACTAGATCACCTTTTCTCGGGGGTCTTAGCTTGCAACGGAGATCGCTTCACTTTCGATCCTGCTCCATTAGGCGTGCGTATAGTTCTAGGAACATTGATCTGCAATTGGTAATCTAGCTCTGAAGAATCGCTAGTTTCGAGCTCCTGCTCGTCTGAGTGATCATCGCTTTGAATCCTACCCAACCCATTGTCGAGGCTGTGCTGCCGATGATATTTCTTCAAAGATTGTTCTGGGTATACCTTCGACGTTTCGTGACTGGACTTTTGATAGAGTGCCTTGGGCGACTCTCCTCCATCCTCCCATTTTTCCAAGTGATTATAGCCTCCACTCAAACCACCTGGTTTCTTCATCACAACCTTATCAACAGCCCATTCATCTTTCCCTTCTTCTGTCGATTTGGGACTTGGCCAAGAGGGAGAATCGAGAATCTCAGCATCGAAGGATTGAGTTGTTGGAATCGAAGAAACTTGGCTGATAACCTGCAGCAGCCCACCAAACAAACCACAAAAAGCCATCATCCGACTTTCAGCCATTCCAGCAGTTATAGAAACCTTTCAACCAAATGTATGAGGATCATACCTCTGTCTTTGTGTCATCACCATTACTCCGAAAGGAATCTGAAGGAGAGGTTCCCAGAGGGCTAGTCATCGATTTATCGGGGCTCATAACTCGACATTGATGAAAATCCGACTCTCCTCTGTCCTTCTGTGATAAGGCTGCTTTAAGGGCAGCAATCTGCATGTAATTAGGCTAAGGGTAACGATCTTAACTAAACATAAAATAAAAGCCATGAATGCTATAGATATAAGGGAATTAGTTACACAAGGAAAGCAAATATATAGAATATCGACGTAAGTATGAAATGTATAAAACCTCGTCTTTTAGTTCTTTGACATCAGTACTCTCTTTGTTAACTCGAGCTGCTCCAAGCTCAATTGTGGAAACACGTTCGGCGAATTTGAGAGTACTAATTGTTTCGCTAACGGCATCAGGTTCTGGGCTGATGTGCACAAACATCAGAGTCTTTGCTTGACCTCCTGCAGTTGAAACCATACCAGAATTTTGAATCTGAGTGCTCTAAGGTGTGTGAAAATGTGTATCTGGCTGGCAGTGAGTGAATAATCATGTCTTACCGAGCGAATCTTGAAGCAACTGTGTAAGCTTACTGTTTCTGTAGGGAACATGTGGGCTCTTTCGAGCAAGAGATGATATTACATCTCCTAGAGCAGATAGAGACCGATTGATATGCTGAGCCTCCTTCAATCTATCTCCGGAAGCCTCGGTTTTGTCCACTCTTTCACTTCCGGCGAGATCAACCAGATGCATGCAACCACGTAGGGTTGAACCGGACGTCAAATTTCTTCCTTGAACATGGACTGTTAGGCAGCTGCAGTATCACCAGTGTAAGCTTTGCAGGTTCAAAATAAATGGATACCATCATTTGTTCAAATTTTATTAAGTTTCTAACACAAACACACACAGTCACACTATTTAATTATCATGTTGAGTTAACAGGCCAAAAATAATGAAAAACATAGGGGAGCAAAAGGTACCTATGAGATCGACTGCTTCGATCATTCATAGCTGTAGAACCAACTGCACGATTTTTGTGCCCAAGGTTCATCAAGTTGATGACATCAGATGGAGATGTAACAGGTAATAGATTAGCATCTGGTACGTTGATGCCGTTAGAAGTGTTGTTTCGGATTTCTAGCGTGTTTAGGAGTTAAGGCATATCAACCGTAAAAGCTCATTCAAAGCGATTGAGATATGGCAATACGCTAAAGAAAGGTAAAACAATATGAAGAACTTGCAGAAAGGATATTTTTTGTGAAGACCATCAGTCACAAGGAGATCTCTAACTTGTTCGTTGTAGATTTCGATCATCTGAACATAGACATCATAAGAAATGGTGTTCTTTCTCTGTTCTGATATGCAAAACAAATCATTCAGTGCTCTGTAATTCACCCCCAAGCTTTCTTGTGTAAGTTCTTTTGGCCCTGTCTTTGAATCACAAAAGAAACACTATAAAGTAAGAGAAGCAACAATACACTACATATTATATTGGTCTCTTTATAGAACTATTATCTCTTACCATTGTGTAAGTCTTTCCTGATCCAGTTTGTCCATAGGCAAATATGCAAACATTATACCCGTCCAGGACAGAACGTATCAGTGGTTGAGTGTCTCCAAATACTTCTTCTGCAGAAATGACGGAGAGGATATGATAGAGGTGGTGTTTCGAAGGAAGATTCTATTCGGGTAATGAATATGACAATCACCTTGGCTTGAAGATGGACCAAACACCCTGTTGAAAGTAAACGATTTCTTCCCCTTCACATATTTTGAAGAGGTGAGTACTGTAAGTGTTTGTTCGTCGGTTGCTTCCACACAGCTTGAACCGGGGGGGTTCTCCGGCAAAAAAGGGCGTATCCGGCAATACACTCTTATATTTCCTGTGGAGTGCATTCACAGATCCTCACTAAGACAATGTGTTGATGGTTTGCACCAATTCTGTGTTTAGATACCAACAAATAGAGGTTTACCTCTGAGATCTTGCACTTGATTGTATAATTTGCGGTTCTCCTCAAGAACTTTTTGGTATCCAGAAGCTGCATGAGCCAGGCTGTAAAGTTGCTTTCCTATCATCATACAGGAACAGGTTTAGAATTTTGCATTGATTGTCGCAAATACTAGATTCGATGAACACCGGTCTTCCATACCCAGATTGTTTACTTCTGCTTGATATTTCATGCTGAGCATTTCAATGTCATTTTTTGTAGAGTGGAGTGTACTTTTGAGTTCCTACACAATGAGAAAGAAGTCGGGTTACTCTCCAAATTAGAGATGGAAAGATTCTTTTTTGGCTTATGAGATTACCTGTATGCTTCTTATGGCCTGCAAGCTTCCTCGTTGCTGCTTTGCATCATCTTGGTGCTTTGGAACATCTTCTTTCGATTCATCATCCTTCTCAGCCAAACACTCGTCTTCAATTACCTTCGGGTTCTTCCATAAAACAAGACATGTCAAACTTGTGCATATTTGAAATATGAACTCATTACAGAGCTTCTGATCACACCTCCAACTCCGTGCACTTGTTAGAACTTGGAATATCTGAGTCCCCTGGATCTGTTCTAGCCTATTGTACCAAAGCAAGAAAATAGAACCTTGTGAATATCGTATGCTTGCATAGTCAAGAGGCCCGAGACAACTGAAAAAGTTTAAGCTCGGAAACTGAACCTAAGTAGTCTTAAGAAATCAAGCTAACCTGTTCACTTTGGCTTGCCATGCGACGTTCATATTCTTCCATAACTCTACTCAACAAATTCTCCACAATCTGCACAATTGCATCCTTGAGTAATTTCCCAAATGTAAAGAATTACAAAACTAATGCAAATGCAAGACTAAAAAGAAATCAAAAGAAGAGTAAAAAGAGAGAACTCACCGAAGGAATGTCTTCAGGCTTCTTATCAGAAAGTAGATCACAAACAAATGTGTGCAGGGCATTAGAGGAAGCCTGTAATTTCAAGAATGAAAAAAACTTTATTAGTTCTGTTGATCGATATGTCTATAGGTGCAAGAGCAATAAACGAGCAAACCATTTCAGTGAGGTCCAGTCCAAGATTGCCCGAGTTCCTCTCATTGAAGAAACAATCAAGAAACTTCTCACAGGTGGGTGAGTTTCTTGAAAATGAACTGGTGAACAGATCAGAATTCTTTCGAACAAACTGCTTCCCTGCTGCTAGGAGCTTTACATTTCTAACAAATTTCTTAACTCCTTTTCCGCCTCCTTGTTTCCATTCGTGGAACGATTTCAGCGCCAATACGCAGTTGACGATTCTGAATGTCTTCCCACCCTAACAGTTTGATTCAAACACTTTCTGTAAACTGCAATCAGATTATACATATATATGCTGCAAAATGATGAAGTTTAAAGCCTCCAAACCTGTTCTAGATCAGAGGTTTCGAAAGCTGGAATTCCCATGCGCTCTGCTGAATCGAGAAAGTTTCTCACATTTTCAAAGTATTGGAATGCAGAAAGTGCAGCTCCATCAGGGATGATAACGGTATCGGATGGTGCCTCGACTACCTGAATCAAGCAACAGATCAAAATAAAACGTCCAACAATTTACACAACCTGAAATCGTTTTAATAACAAACAGAATTCTCATACTTTTTGGACAGCTCCAGGCTGAACCTTGTTCAGCACATTGCAGAGTATAATTCCACTTCTCAAACTAAGTCTGAATTCTTCTTCTGAAGGCTGAGGAGGCAAATCTTTCTCTACAACCTCTCCTAACATCTTTCGCAGCCATCCAGCGGCTTCATATCTTCTAAATGCTGAAACACAAACTCTCTCTTTAGAGATTAAAGCTTAATCAAATCCTACCAAATTCCTGACCAAATAGCAACCAAATTCTATTTCATGGAAAACGAAAACAAATCAATAATGCAAAACGACAAGCAATCAGAACTTCAGAAGACGATAAGAACACGTATGACGATAGATGCTATATATATACGACCAATAATTGCATCAATATCACGATTTCCAGCAACTCAGAAAAGATAAGCAAGAACAATAGAGAATAAACGAAATGATCGATCATACAAGTTTCCTCCGCTTTTCTCGAAGCCAAATCAATGTCGCTGAGACGGTTGCCGTTCTGTCGAAGCGCATCCTCGACCGCCGACGCAACATTCAACTGCACCGCACCCTCCGCCATTGTTGCCGCGTGCAAAACACACAGACTGCGGAGAAATCCTCGACCGGAAAACGCGATTCTCCCCAAAATCAAAATCCGTCAACGACATTCAAGAATCAAAATGCATGCTCTCCAGTACATGCATCGACGATCCTCCCATATATGTATAGGCGCAAACACAAGAAAAATCGAAACCAAAAAACTGCTCAATATGCGCGAATGCTCGGTCTTTACGCAAGCAAACAACCAGGCATATATAGAAGAACAAAAAGACACAACAAAAAAAAAAAAAAATGTTTGCGAAGATACAAGGAGAGAAATAACCATCCAATCAATAAACAAATGATATTGATTGATCAATCATTTCTTTTTCTTTGATCTTCACACTGTTTGTTTGAGCTCTTCAATGGCTTCGATCGATCCTTTGCGCGTCTCCTTCACCCCTGACTGACTCCCTTTTACTTCGTAATTTATCTTTCTCTCTCTATCCATCAATACTATTTTAGTTCCTAAGCTCTTCCGAACCTCAAGGCTCGGGATCTTTCGTGGTTCGTATTTCCAGCATCTGTCTATATTTATAAAAAATAAAAATTCTAAAAAAGTATATATATTAAGAAAATATAAAAAGTACTCCTATATATATAATATTAAAATATATATCAAGATTCTAAAATTTAATTCTAAAAACTTATAGATGTGTTTATATATATATTGAAAATTTTGGGGTATAAAATTTTAAATAAAAAATCATTTTATATATATATAGAAAAAAAAAAAATAGAAATACATCATATGTGTATATTAATGTGTTCTATTTATTTATCTTTTTAATTTAATTTTTTATTTAAATATTTTTTTAACTTGGGTGTTTTATGTAAATAAAAAATTGTACTTATCTAAATGGTAAGAGTTGTATAGTAAAAAAGATGAGAAAATTTGTAGAGATAGAAATCTCAATTGTAAAAAACAAATTTAAATAGACAAATAAACAACTCAATAACGGGTAATAGTTCAACTTATAAGCTTAAGGTTATAGGTTCAAAATTTTTCGATAATTTTGCTCCAAGTTTACCAGATACGCATTTGAAAAATAGCAGATTGTGCTATAATTAATTTACATATATTATACGGCTAATCAACAATCATTTTAACTATTCTCATAATTGCATAGATAATTTTTTTTTTCTTTTTGTTTGCATAGTTAATTTTATTTTGTCGTCATTGTTTAATTTTACATTATTCAATTTATAATTTTTTCTTTTAATATAGTTGTGTACTCGTGTCTAGTTTTAATTTTTATTATACCAATAAAAAATTTATTTATGCAAACCCTTACTATATATATATATTTTAAATAAAACCTTAGTAAGGTATTTTTATTTTTATTTTTTGAAAAATATAAATTTTAATAGCTATTGTTTATTTAAAATATTCAAAATTCAGAACAAGCTAAAACAAAATTAAAGTAAAATAAGATACAGCTTCTTGTCAATGATGGCTACATTGGTATGGTAAGTTGAGTTGTAAACTTATGGTTACAAGTTCAAAACTCTAATTGTGACATTTAAATGAATTATTAGATGTTCTACATTAAATTAAGAAATAATATGATTTGACACTTTTGTTGGGTATTTTGATATTAGTGTATAATTATTTTTTTCAAATAGAAAATAGATACTTTGAAATGGAATAGACAAAAATTGTAAAAATGATATTTTGAATTAAGACGGAGGAAGAATATGTTTTTTTAATCAATTAACAAAAGTTAACAATTAAATACTTCCTCCGTCCGGCTCTAAAGGTCTCATTTATTTTTTGCGTCATTGTACTTAATACACAAAAAGTAAATGAGAACCACCCTTAGAGTCGGACGGAAGTACTATAAAATATTGTTTTTTTATATTATAATATAATTTTCTACACTTAACATAAAAAAAAAAACATTTATTTTTAAAAATACAAAATTAACACACCAATTTCACAATTTTGCTCCAAAAACATTAAATTCAAACTTTTTTTTAAAAAAACCCTATCTCCCATTGCTTTTGCATGTTTTACTTTGGGGTGATATTTTGTTTGATATAATATCGTTAATTTTTATATTTTAATCATTCTAATCATACTTTTTATTTAGAATAACTTTATGAATCATATTTAAAAAAATAAAATATGAAAAATTATCTATAAATAATATATATATAAGATAAAAATAAACAATATAGTATATAATATCTATCTCATACAACAATTATTTTGCAAATTGAAGGTAAATAGACCCCAAATAAGAGGGTGCAAATGAATAAGTAACATGCAAGTATCATTTAATTGGTTGCTGGTCCATTAATTAATTAAATTAAATTAATAGTATGTCCAAGTCCAAAGCCAAATCTTAAGGCTAATTGTCATAATTACTACCATAATCACTCATTAATAAATATGACACTAATTGGCCTATAACCAAGACTACTCACACTCAACTATCATTGGTTTATTGTTAATGCTATTTATTTATTCTCAATGTCTATATAATATGGTCACTGTTACTTTGCTTAGATGTTAAATTCAACGTAATACTGATAGTATAACACTACATATTACACAGACGGAACAATAGACAATTTATGTAAAATAAAATTTAAATATAATATAAAAAATATTTATTTAATTGATATTTATTTTTTTAAAAGTCTGACTTATAAATTTCTTTAGTGAAATTGACAAAAGAACACGACATTAAAATCTTTGTTGTGTATTTTATTTGAATTATGAAAGTTCAGTGAATTAAAAAAATTTGAAAAATAATTATGAAAATAACAAACCTTTGGTATGGAACCGCCGAGCCTGAGAGTTAAGTAGCTTCGGAGTATCTATTAAGTAAAGTAAAATAAAATAAAATAAAATAAAGCAGAGCGGCTAACCCACGCCGGCAGCCGGCGCGCGGCTCAACTTTCAAGCCACCCCTTTTACTTTGTACCAAGTTAGGTAGGCAAAAGACACGTGTAGAATAGTACTCTGCGCATCCATAGTAGTACCATCGGAATCGGAATGCTATGTCAATAATAAATAAATAAGTAAACACACAATTGATTGATAAGGAGAATTTTTTTCTTTTTTAAATAGTAGTATTATAAACTGTCTTGCTTTTAAATTTATTTTTTTTTTTATTTGTCATCTAAAAATATTTAAATTTAAATTTTATATTTTTTATTATAAAAAATAACTACAAGTGCATACTCATATTAAAATTTGTGTCAAAAAAATTAATTTCATGTTTAAGTAAATAAGGGAATAATATTTATTTCTATTTTGATCATATTAGAAAAATTAAATACTGTAAACATTCATAATACGAACAAATGTATCCTTAATTATTATACAGATCTTTCTTAAAATAAGATATAAAGTATTTTTTATTTATATTATTTACCTTTTTCTTGAAATTTTGGTTTAACTATACGGAGTATTTAAGTAGATAATTTTAGTTGCTTGTACATTTTATTAGCCTAATTTTAGTCTTTTATTTAAATATAAAATAAAATAAGTAATTTTTGTATTAAAAATATATATATATTATCCTATCTCACAAAATATAATATAAAATAGCAATATAAATACAAAATACAAGCACAACCCAAACACTCCCAATTATTTTGCTCTCTTTGATTATTTTCTCATTTTTTATTATATAATTTTTTTTTGTTCCCAAATAAAACATATATATTTTTTATATAAAATATTGAATCTAATCATTATTTTAGCTAGAAAATGAAAAAATATATATATATAATCTGATTTTATTACTAATTTCTCATAAAAATACAGTTTCTCTTATTTTTTATTTGGATCATCCAAAATTATTTTTTTAGTAAAAATCATGTAAGTATATTGTATTGTTTTAGTATTTATAAGAAAATTATTAATTATTACTATTAATCTATATAAAATACAAAAAAATATCTTTTAAATGAGAAAGAAAGAATAACAAACAATTATGAGTCACGACAAAGCATAATAGCAAAGTCCCATGATTCCTGGCGATCCAACATTTATTTCAGTGTTACTGACCCCACCTTATTATTATTATTATTAAAGAAACGTTATATTCATTGTCGAGTTTCTTTTAAAGGTTACATTTAGTAATTATTACATCTTTATAATAATAATAATAATAATAATAATAATAATAAATGAATAACTACAAATAATAACATTTAAGGAATATTGATATTATATTAGTAGTATGTAAAAAATACGGGTAAAATTTTTTTTTGCCTTTGTGAGTGTATTAGTGTAAAAAATAGTGACAATTATGTAATAATAATGAAAAATTAAGGATAATTTCATAGTGATATGATTATTTATGAAAATGAGACTATTGTTTTGGGACGGACAAAAATGGTAAACAAGACTATTGTATTGGGACGGAGGGAGTATCACGTTATATTCACTAAAAAAAATAAAATAAAATAAGTATATTTGAAACAGAATTTCGTTCCTAAATTTCACGTTAATTTCATCCATAATTCCGTCTCTAATATCATTAGGAATAGAAAAAATGAATTTAGGAACGAAAACACCTCATTACAAAATTGATATTTTCTTGTATTTTATAAAATGATGTCTATTTTTTGTAGGTTTTTTTTTTTAATAAATAAAGTATTGAAATTTTAGATAAAAAATCATTATTAAATTTAATATTTTAAAATAAAAATATAAATAATTGTAAAATATCACGCTCCCTTGTACGAATTACATTTCAATATTGTCATCGTTTTACATGCAAATGTTCAAGAAATTTATAGTATAAAAACACTTAAGAATTTATTTATAATCACTGAACTAAATTACTGTAAGGTAATTAATTATATTTACGTATATTTAAGCAATTCTAACCCAATATATTTATGTATATATATTTCAACAATTCTAAGTCTTTTAGACAAAAATATGATTAATACTTTATAAGTGTACTAGATGAATATATTTTCATGTGATAAATAATACTTCCTCCGTCCTTTAACAATCTATCTATTTTTCTATTTTGGTTTGTCCCATAATAAAGTATCCATTTTTATTTTTTTTTAGTAATTGTATTATCTATATAACATTACAAATACCCTTTCAATTTACAATATATTATACAAATGTCATTACTTTTATATCATACAATACTAATAGGGTTGATTTAGTATTTTTACCTTTATTTCCACTTTATCCCAATATAATACTAATATTTTTAAAACGCCTTGCAAAAAGCAAACGAATATATAGATATGAAAAGGAGTGAGAAGTATATATTATGTGAACTTTTATTATATATTTGATAATTTATTTATTATATTTATATTATATCATAAATAATATGTTACTAACTTATAATTCATGTATTGTCTATTCATATTGAAATATTGAATGTGGTTTTA